TAATCATTAACTGCAACTCAAAATGGTTTTTATAAACTGTGATTTATTATTATAAAATCGATGTGACACTAGCTGATTAGGCGAATTACAGAAGTTTTTTTATGCAAATACTATTTTTATACACAACAGTTCCATAAAACAATCTTTAATTTATTTTTTAATTATATCTTAATCTTAAATCTCCATATGTATACAGGGTGTATATAGAATAATAATCATGAAGTTTTGCATGATTTAATATTTTTCTGAAATACCTACCCTAATAAATCATAAAACATTTAGATTATTTGATAATAATCTAAATTTATTAAAAAAAATCAATAATAATTATTTCGAGCCTCAATTGAATAACAGTTTTACAAGAAAAAATTGTAAAATGTTACAAACATTCCTGTAAATAAAATTTGATAATTGCATAACAGCCGAAATAATTGTTGAGTCTGAGATCAAATATTTATTCCTCTTTGTGAAACTCCTGCCAATCTTTATTAGTATCTAGCCTGTTAATAATGTTTCACGAAATACCTATTTCAGATATTCATCAAATTAAAATCCATAAGTTCGACATTCATACACTCTGTATATGTACAATAACAATAATTACTGAACATTGGAAATTGTCACATCGATGATTTTATAGTCTACTCTGTTTAAAACACTTCTACGATGTTAATTTTATTTAAGAATTTATTATTCAAAAGTGCCACTTAATAAGTTACTAATTATTATTATTAAATAAAGAAAACAAAGGCTAATAAGGTACAGAACTAATTGAATGTGTATATTTATTTTTCGTTTATCTACATATATTGTATTTCGTCAAAAGCATCTTTCTATATAAAAACGTACGAATTCTCTCACTCCTAAACATAAAAGTAAATTAAATAATATATAAAAGAAACTCCTTCTTGTACAGTTTTTTAATTATAAATATATTTTATAACCGCATAGATAAATTAAGCGCTAACAAAGTTATGAATTTACTTTTTATAGATCCTAAAATGTCGAAAAATTTGATTGCTAAAGGAGACAGAATTTGTAAAAAATGTTTGCTACGAATTACATGGGTATTTAATATATATTAATACATGTATGTATGTATGTTGAGTTGAATATGTCTGTAAAATGGGTTGCCTCCCTAAGCGAACGAATTCTATTTAAAATTCATATTTCTGTATGTTGGGTGGACTGTACTTATGGTGATTATCCCTACCCCGCAAAACTGGACAGTACCTACTCACAACCGATTTCAATTTTGACCCATATCATCTTTTTCCGTTTTCCATTTTGCATTTTTAAAACCACAAAATCATTATCTTATTAACTAAGAAAAATCGAAATCTCTGCACACTACTTTTCCAATTAAGATACTATTCAATCAATATTACATTTAATATAAAAATGTGTGGATGTATGTCAATTACTGTAAAACAATCATATTTATTATTGAAGATACACTGAGTTAAAACTTAAGTGTAATCAAGTAATAATTTGTTATTTTTTAAAATAATTTTCACTCGAGCACAAATTTAATTCCTTTCAAAAATAATTATATTTGTGTAACGTGCTCTAAAAGTATAGGTGTTTATACTATGATATTTACCCTGCAAACAAAACATATCAATGTGCAATAAATGTTTTGATGTTATAATCTATAAAAGAATGCTAAAAATTTCAACACTGGATACCAAAATCGCAAAACAATGCTTTTAATCATTTCTTTAATGTAAAGGTACTTTTACCGTTTTTACTTTCTAAGGAAGAGAAACTTTGACTAATCCGGAAAGGAGTTAACGAGCAAGTATTACCAGTCTTGCTTTTAAATAACAGAATGTAGCTGAAAAGAATGGAAAATATTTTCTTAGAATACGAAAACATATTTTTGTAAACGGATTGTATAATTGATTATTTAAAAGAAAAATTAAAAAGAATAGAACTAGCTTTTGGCTGTTCTTAGAACAGTTCATTGGTCATAAAGACCACAAAATGTCTTCCTTAAATGCTGTTATCTATTATATAAGGGAGCAAATTTGTCATTTCAGCTTCATGACCTCAAATTAGCATTTGTAAACCATAGCAGAAAATACACTAGTTACTATAAAGGTATCATTTTAAACTTCATCGTTTTATTTCAGTTAAAGGAGTTAAGTTGGAAATGACAATAATTTGCTTTAGTGGAAAGAACAAGTTACGATATTTATTTTTGTTTGTACTTATAGACTAGCCAGATTGTACGATACATATTTACTAAGGAAATTTAGAACAAAAAATTACAGTTAGCAAAATTAGATACTTTGCAACTTAATGTAAATATACTGTATGTAAATTGTGGAAATGTCTTCATGTCACCTAAGGACTAACGTCTAACAGAAATAAATTATCCCAAAATTATTTCCCCTTATTTTTTCTTCTTTTCATACTACTGATTTAATAGAGGGAGGCCCGATGCTCCTGGGGAAACAAACCCGAACTTGAATGCAAGATTTGTACCTTCACTTTACACTAATATCGACTACTGATTTAATAAGCATTATTTGTTTATTATTAAATTTTTAAATATCGTTAAATTCTTATAGTAAAAATATTATTCTGTACAAATATTTTTAAGTCCGGATCTGTTCAAAGTCTATCATTTCTGTGATAATGTCTATGAATAGGGCGCAGTCGCACTGAAGTTAGTCAAACTAACGTGTTACTTAGGTTATGTTGTTCTTAATTGTCAAACTTTAGCACTAGTTTCTTTTATTTTCTATTTCTTTTAGATCTGATATTACAAAAATATCTCAATTGAACGTGTAAGTTGTAGAGTTTAAATTCCTTTTCTGTAATTGAGTTCCCATAGCTTCTTAAACGTTAAAACTAAAAGTGTGTTATTGTTTCAATTGTTACTTCTCTTCACAAAGAACCTCTTGTGCCTTTTTTTCTTGAAACAAATACTGAAACAACTCTTGAAATGCCTACCCAATTAGCTCACGACAACGATATGGTCGATATAAAAGCGAAAATAGCATATAACGGTGAAATTCTTATAACCTATATTGACCAACACATTACATTAGATAAACTGTGCCAAGAAATACGTGAAATTTGTCGGTTCACTCAAGATCAAGTATTCACTATGAAATGGGTGGACGAAGAAGGCGATCCATGTATTATTTCCACTCAAATGGAGTTGGATGAAGCCATACGCTTGTATGAAATAAACAGGGACTCCGAAATCACCATTCATGGTGAGTAGTTTTAAAATCTTTCATGGTATATCATTAATTAAAGTACTTGTGAGTGTAATGTACCTATGTAACAATAATTTTTATATCTCAACTTTATAATGTTAAAATTTACAAGGGAAAGAATAAATTTCAAATGTTAGTTTCCATTGCATTCGAAGATGCTTTTGAAGCCAATGATTACTGCATTAAAACCTTTTTCTATGCACTGACCAATATAATTTGCTTTAGAGTATGATACCCATAAGAAATGTACAACAAATCCACCAAACGGTTTCTCAAAGAATACATTATGGATTAAATTCAGTAATTGTTTAATGAGTTTCATAATTGTTAGAAACAATGGTAACACTCAATCACTTTTTCATTATAACGTATAAAACTGTTCGATTTCAATTTTTAAACGTTACTTTTGTTAATGTAACAGGAGTTGGTATAAATTCTTTTTAATTGGATCTTTTCATAAATAGAAAAGCTACTGTTTTAAACATTATTTTTATAGTACCTACTTATATGATTTCTTCTTCTGAAAGTTTCTTAGTTTTTGTTTATATAGTTGTAAAAAGTACAAAAACAGTAAATTTTGTTTATTAGTGTTATAGGTATTCAGAAAGGGCATTTTTCCATTATAAATGTTGCCCTCTGCTTCTAATTGTTCCATTTAAACATTTTTTTATTCCTCAAATTAATTAGTATTCTAAGAATATGATCGTAAGGTATGTTTTATATGCATAATATTTTCTTGATTACATACCGAAACATACTTACTACCTATCCAAACGGTATCACAAGTGAAAAACATAATTTTACGACTAATGTATTGATAAAACATTAATAGACTTTTTATATAAGGTAGTTTTACAAACTTCATGTTCATTTATTTTACTCTTGTTATTTTTCAACCCTTAAACTTCAGGAAAAATCGATTGGCGCCACAGTCGAGTTTTCCCGGACGCAGTGTTGTCAGGTCGGAAAAACCACCCTTATCTATAATGTGTTTTCTCATTTGCAACGTTTACTTTCGAACAATAAATCTATAAACTCAGATTCGGTTTTATAACGTCAATTTGCTCTAATCAGTCGTTATTACTGGTCGTGCTTCGTAAAAATGGAAGGCAATTACTTATTCAACGATTGATTTGTTAAGTGTTTTCGTGAAAAGTATGACAACGTAGCCCTCCAGATTTTGCTTCAATTTCAGCACCTGCCCGTCTGCCTGTAGACTGAAATCACCCTTCAAACCTTTTTGAGTTTGAGTAATCCGAATTCCTAGTAAAACTCTACTCGTTTTCACTAATGTCGTTCTGTGTTACTCTTTTATTGTGCGTGTTGTGATTAAGTAATGCTGATAAAGCAAAAATCGTTAAACTTTGAGTAACAACGTAGAAAAACCATTAAAACCTCACTAGTGAACCGGTTAATTTATAATTAAATAATTTGCAATATTATGCGTGTTTCAAGCAGCTTCTTCCAATCGACAAACTTCACAATTTATATCAACATTACGCACAAAGTTAAGTGAAAGAAGCAGAAATTAAAAGTAATATCAATTAATACCTGCGATTAGTATTGTTAGGTATAATTCACAAAGAATAATACTAAAGAAATATTAATTAACTTATTAACTCCTTTTTGAAGTTAAGAAAACTATTTATCAGCAGCGAAAACTGCTACCTCACTTTATAAATAGATATTTATTTAAGAAGAACGAAAATAAAAAGATAATTGATATATAAATGATTTTATAAATTAATTATTTCCAAATCAAAATTAAAAATACATAGAAATTAAAATTTAGTGCTGTCATATGCCGGAAAGATTATTAACCACCTTGAATCAATTTATGTGATTATGTATTATTCGTTGTAATGAGCCTTTTGCAATACGATAATAGCTACTTATTTGGCTACGTGCATTTTTGCTTGTAAAATTAAAAAATGTGCTCGTTGCATAACACTCGTGCGTCGTGGTGAATGTGTGTTTTACGTAGTGCACCGAACCAATAACGTATATGCTGTAAGCAATAAATACAATAAAAGTAATAAATGATGCCCTAAATTAATCTCAGGAATGTCTATAAATAAAGTTCTGTTGCAATTACACTAATAAAAGAAATTGAATCCTAAGAGATACGTTAAATATTAACGAACCGATCGCATATACTTATATTATAAAAATGGCTTGGGGCTATTGGAGTGCAGCGTCTGTGTCGACAACTGACAGGGGCCGAAGTCCCCGTAGAAATCAGAACGGTACCGCTGCGACACTTCCTTTTCAATCAGCCCCCGCGGTCCCTTCCGAAGAACGTCCCCCGGCAAGCGTTTACAATCCGGGACCGAACAATTCTAACAGTCCACCCAGTCAAGAGTTCGATGTGGGTCCTTCATTTTCCCGAAGGCCTTCTTTAGATCTGGGACATATGCCTCCTCAAAATGCGCTGGCTAACATCTTGTGTGCCGCCCACGGCAGCAGGCAGCAAGGTACGCTAAGTGCGGGCAATACATTGACCAGATTGGGCAGTCGACATGCCGCAGTACACCCGAGTACCGGGGTAGAGTATGCCGTGCCTCATCATCACCATCATCATCATCACGCAGCTTACATTGAGTACCATCAGAATCAGCTGTCGTTTTCTGATGAAGATTCGGGATCTGAACCGGGATACGCTTCAGGTATTAATCGGAATCGTTGTACATTTTCGCATATAAAACAACATGAAAAGGTTTAGTAAAAATTTTCGGAAAACTATACCGAAATTACGCCAAACTTCAAAGGGGAGAAGTATGACGTGATTTCTCGGCAAAATGGGAAGGACGAAGTTGTATTAACATGAAATAATAACTAGGTGCTTTTATTTTGTCTAATGATTCGCATATTTCGTTTTGGAAGTAGTGTGTAGAAAGGAAATTAATAAGAATGTTCCCTTAATTGGATAAAATAATAAAAAAATATAATCATAAAATTCGACTTCCTAATTTAATTTTTCAGAAGATTTAACTTTTCAGTAGGAAGAAAGAAACGCTTAATTGTGTCACGCCATAACGAAATGTGTAAAATAATAGCTACGAAATTTGCTAGGCGCAATTTATTGATGCCCCCTAACTCCCTAACTGTTTTTACTAAACCATTTTGATTCTGTTCAAGCCCCATCTATGTTTCGTTGAAGATTTAGCTTAAAATTTTCATTGAATGAAAATCCACAACAGCTAATCGTACCTAATGGAACCCGTTTTAAGATCGCAAATTAACCCATCTGCCATTTGTCCCAAAAACTAATTGATGTAGAAATGTGAAATTTGACATAGGGGAGTATCATATTTCCCGCGTATTTTCTCATAAATTAGAGAGATAATCACAGAATAGGAAAGGGATGAAACCCAAAAAAACATTTTGCATGTATTTTCCATGTATCATTTTAAAAGGTTGGCTAATATATATAGTATAAATAACAAATCGATGATATTGGCAAAAAAGTGTAAATAAGGGTAAATAGAGGTCTTCGTAAATTTATCAGAGAGACTATCAAACATTGCAAGTTTTGTAATTTTTGAGAAATTTGTGAGATTCTAAATTAGCGTTCCAATTAAGTCCATGGTAGACTGGAATTCACATGCATTTTTCCGCAAAATCGTGTGGACGATTTCAAATATTTATTAGGTATGTACGAATAACATTTCGTTATCTTTGTGCATTGTTCACTACTATAAACGATGTTTTTAAGTGCATTATTGTTTTCCTTAATAATCCAAGGACAAGAAAAATAAAATATTAACAGTCGCGTTATCTACGAGTAAACATACAGGTATAGAGACAGAGTACTTAAGTTTTCATGATCATAAGTGCATATATGTAAGTGTATTTGTAATTTTTTTTTATGAGCCAATTACTGATTTACACAATTTTTTGTTTCTTTTTCTTCAGCTGCCAGGCCTTACAGCATTTTAGGTAATTAATGTTTTTTTGATGATAAAATTTATTGTACTTTGCATTTTCCGGATGCAAATTAGCTAAACGAGTTCCTGAAGATTTTCAAACTTGAGCTTAAATCCGACAATTTATATGAAAAAAAATAGCAGTAATGTTAATTGGTTACACGCGATGGATGTTGCGCGCGGAGCGGTAAACGTCAACTAATATAATCGAAAACATTATTTCAGTAAATACAAAATGCCATACATACTGTTGTTTGTGGATCCACTTTGTCATTTAATTTCTCTGCAGTTCTTCACTTTTCTAATTGCTGCATGAAGTTGTGAAAGGAAAAAACTTTAGAAACTCCATTAGTTTACCCCTAGATCTCCGCTAATCCTTTCAAAGAAAGTTAAAATCTGCGATGTAATAAAACTTATGCATCCACCGTTTGGAATAAGGCCAACAAGGTCAGTTTTATCCTCGCCAAAAGGGGCGTCAGTCAGGATGAGGTGCGGCCCCAAAGAAAAGTTTGCTTTAAGTGCATGGACGAACTCCTGCATTGGTTAATAGATGTAGTTCTATTTTAAATTGTTTAACCGCAACACAGAACAAAAAACGAAAGGAATCAAAAGAAATGTGGACATTCATGACTTGTCCTTCTTTCTTCATGTGGGCATTATCGAAATTAACTTTTTATTTATTTTTGTTTTTGGCAAAAGTTTCAAAAAACTCAACACCCGGTTTGATGCATGCTTAGGTCACTTTTGTTATTACAATAATAGTCAGTGCTCTAATATTTTTGTTTTATTTCTTTGTTTAGTCGAAATAATTTGCTTTGTCGTGGAATCTTTGATTAAATTGTAAAACAGCTCGTTCATATCTGGAGATTGTGCCAGAATCGGCCAGTGCATTGCAGTAAATTTTAGCGCACTCTTGATCCATAAATTTACCTGAATATACATACAAGAATGTATATATATATATATATAACTACGAGAGCAGAGATCTATCAATACAGATGTAAATTTCAGTTGCAATTAGTGTCTGTAGAAATTGGCAGTTTTTAATTGTTTGCGAAGTTTTACGTTACTTGTTCTTGTTCTGATACTAATTAACGCCTTTACATAATTCTTTAACCTGACTCACTGAAACGTTTCATTAAATGAATTTGGACATAGCAGCAAGTGATAAATTGCATAACGAGAGATATCAGAAGAAAAGAAAATTATGGGATTTTTGGAATATACACGTTGATACTTCCAATTTTATATCAAACACAAAATATTTTCTTAAATTTACTTTTATACTGTAATTAAGGTGACGCCCTGTTTCTTCTTGTTTTTATGTACTTCTTTTTGGTTATTGATGATGACACTTGCAGAGTTATTAAACATTGATTTTTTTCAAACTTGAAGTTTATTTGATGTAGAAAACATTTCATTTTCTTTTTTCACATGTTGTCGCAAATGTTTTCAAACTTCTACAGTAACTGTGTTAATGAACGATGTTAAATCGAACGGCTACAGCTGCCGCTGCTACTACTGCAGTAGTTTTGACACTTAGATCCAAGTGGTATTTATTGTTCTTTAGGGAAAAGTACTGCTGGAGTTTGTAGTTTTGCACAACTGCACTCCGTATCGATTTCCGTTACTATGGATGTAAGTACGTATAAGTTTAGAGCGCATAAAATACTTCTAAATGATACGTGTGGTTTTAAAAGAATAGTTTGATAATGTATTGATGTTTAGCGAAACATTAACAGTACTTACAAGGTGTGAAATATGAAAAATTGAATTAAAATTGTTAGTTTACTGTACATTTTAAATAAGGTAAGTTTCTTATTTTTCATCCTTAGCCACATAGATAAAAATTTATACCGAATTTGAATTAGAAAATCAAGAACTAAACCGATCGAATTACTTTTACTCACTCACGAAGTTAGAGAGTAAGGATGACTTTTTGGGTGTCGAAACGTGTTTTAGGTTTTTACACACAGACTGTAAAACTAAGTGAAACAACATTAAATGGTACATGCAAATGAGGAGTTAGTTCGTACACAGTAGGTAAATATAAAGAAATTATTATTAATGAAAATTATTCCATGAATTTAAATTGGACATTATCCTTCAATCAGGCAGTCTGGTATAACTTCGGCTAGGGTCAGATGATAGAACAATAAAATTAATCTAGATATTCGTATTAGACTTATAATCTTAAATTGCTTGTGGGGTGTCCCCAAGAAATACATACATATGCATGCAGGATAAAACCGTTTTTATCCTGGATTGCTTCTGAGTATCTATAAGTATGTACGGAGGTTTGGACTCCCTACGCTCCCTGATTGTTTGATAATATACGATTTTTATTTTAAATTTAACTGATGAACCCTTCCTTGTTATTTAATCTTTTTATGAAAACGAATAATTTTTATTATTTTATGATGGAATAACATCACATAAACTGTATTCCTTATCGTCGTTATCTTTGTAGTTAAAAGGTGCTTATCTCGTATAGATAACGATATAACGGAGTACATACTGTCTTATAATCCTTGCCTTTGATATCTTCAGTTTCTTTGGTTTACATGAGGAACTGTTCAAATATTTATTATTTTGAGTAATTTCCTCTTATCAGAACGACATTCGTGTTTTGTTTTTTGTTTTTTCTTGTATGCTAGAAATTTGCATTATCAGGGGCTAAAAAGGAGTGCGGATTCACCAGAAATTTATCAATCTCTCAAAGTCAATTTCTAGTAGTTATAGAAATGATAGAATATCGAAATTTTAACGCGCATCATGAGTAGTGCTACAAATATGTCAAAGTGTTTGGTATCTCGAATATTATCGGATTATATACGTAGTGTAAGGCACAAATACAGTCTATGAGTGTTACAATGGATGGTAATCCAGATCCATGGTACTGCAGAGGAGGCATATGGACAGCTATGAGTGAAGCTGCAGTCATGTATGGTTACTACCCCACTATATGCTGCTATGATCTGGCTTCAATTGCTCCTGGCATGCCCAGAGGTCTGAATGCTTATATCAACTCCTGTAGACAGGATTTCTTTTAGATATATACGTCTGATTTGGTATCCAAAAGATTTGTTAATTTAAGTGGCCCTTAGGAGTAGGTAAACGAAGAAAGTTGGGGTAGAGGACATTCATTGAAATTATTATATTTAGGCACCCAGTTTATGCGACAACGATTAAATAGATCTTGACACCTTTAACATATAGTACCTAATTGTGTCATGAAAGTAATAAAACATAAAAGCGCCTTACTCTTGCCTTTGTTTGTCTTATTTTAACTTTGTTTACGTACAGTTGAACTCATACATTAACCAAACCTGCTCTAGTTTTCTTTTTCTTTTTTTATTATCGCCATCTTAACATTTGATAAGAAGAATTACGTTTGCAATCGCCGAGTAAGTTTCCTTTTATATTTCGTACTGTAACTTAGGTGCATACTCAGACAGCTGGTGCTGTTAACTTTGAAACAAAAATGCAACTTATTTTGTTGGTAGAAAATTTATTGGGAAAATCATTTTTTGCTTCCAAACGTTTGAAATTGTTGTAGAAATTGAAAACCCATTTCTAATTCCAAAAAATCGATTGTTTAAATAGTGTATTTGTATATGTTATACCTGTATGCCTGGCCGCCGTGGGTAATGATTACGGGTATCTTATCAATATTTTGAATCATCACCCATTGCTTACTTACATGGCATGGAATATATATGTACATGCGTACGTATTACAAAATGTGTACAATTAATAGAGCGCAGTCTGCCAGGGTCTTCCTCAACCATCTAATTTTGTCTGTAAAAATGAGTGCGAAATGTAATGTACATATAGTGGTCGGTAAATACAGAACAACACAAAGCGTTTATTTGACGCCTGAACGTTGAATATATGTATGTACTTACCTATGTTCACAGTGACAATATGCAATAACAAATAGAAAATAATAACGGACCTTTAATGTCTTTTCAATTAATATTTATAACTCCGTTTTCCGCACTCACATGGATGACTTTATTTATTCATTTAAATCATTTTATTTCCTAGTTTTTCCAAATGTACCGTCCCAGCCCGGAATGCCATGTCAAGGAGAAGATAGTAAGTTTTAGCATTGTTTCTATATTTTTTGTGTATATATACAATACTATTTAGTGTTTGAAAACCCTTCGACCAATTATGTACCTATAATATTGTAATTTTTGGTTTAAATAAGTGATTTTCCTTTATCGAATCTTATCATTTCCACTTGATAAATCGCTTGGTGAAATTAACTTGTAATATACTGTATTTTCTTATCTTCTACAGAAATAACCGCTAATCGTAAGTTTACTTTTTTAAAATCAAAATACTTTGAAATATTGTTTTAGAAAGTCTACTATTGTAATTTTATCGGACTGTTTATAACAATTATTTTTCTCACAAAATTAAGTCTGTTAAATGTTCTTGTAAAATATTCTATTTAATAGCTAGGTACATAATAAAAAGAGAAATTTGTTTTGGACACAATTATACTGATCTGACCTTATATACCTTCCATAACACAATGCCCTTCAAATTACCTCGTTTTTCATATAACTTTTTGTAGTTGTTATTATACAGCTATGTTTCGTTCTTTCATTCACCAAGCGTTAGAAAAGCAAAGAAGTTGTGTTAAAAATTGACTTTAAAAGATGAAATGGTTGATGCTTGTATAATGAAATTAAAACTACTTGCTAAGTGCTATAAGTTTCTTTTCCCGAATAAGCAGAAGAACAATGTTTTCCAAGGTGCTTTTGTAAATAGATTTTTGTTTCATTGAAAGAAATGGAAGTGTATTAAGGTCACATATTAAGTTGTTTTTTTCTTTTAAAGGAAGCATATACAGAAGAGGAGCCCGACGTTGGAGAAAGTTATATAGGGTTAACGGACATATTTTCCAAGCTAAGCGATTCAATAGAGTATGTTGCTTAACTGTATGTTTAGATCTACTTTTATTTTTATTGGTGTTTAATTTTAGAGAGCATTCTGTGCTTTCTGTCATGACCGCATTTGGGGCTTGGGGCGGCAGGGTTTTAAATGTATCCAATGTAAACTCCTTGTTCACAAAAAGTGTCACAAACTTGTTCAAATTCCATGCACTAACGAGCACGTGGAGCCAATTATCAAAGATGACCATAACGGTAAGAACAAAAAAAACCTGTTTTGTAATTGAATAATAAATTTTGCAATTTCAAGGGGAAGCCCAAGCTCACGGAATTCGAGAGGAAATCCTTTCTGAAATGCGTGACTACCCCGAACCTCCTCCTGACGTGACCAGTGATTCTGTGCCAGTAGAAGACCCGACAAAACAGACAGATGATATCTTAGAAATAGGCTCACAAAGACAGTATTCACTTAATGACTTTGAACTCATAAGAGTAATTGGTAGGGGTTCGTATGCCAAAGTTCTGATGGTTGAATTGAAGAAAACTGGTAGAATTTATGCAATGAAAGTGATCAAAAAGGCCTTAGTTACTGATGATGAGGACATTGATTGGGTAAACTTCTTCCCTTGTTTATTCATCATTTCTTTTTTGCTGCTCTTTGCCTTGCTATTCTAATTAGTTTTATTTCCCTCTGCCTTGAAGAATGTTCACCTTATTTTGTCCATATATTTTTCCAGGTACAAACTGAGAAGCATGTTTTTGAGACAGCATCAAATCATCCGTTCTTGGTTGGCCTCCATTCGTGTTTTCAAACCCCCTCTCGTCTTTTTTTCGTTATTGAATTCGTCAGGGGTGGAGACTTAATGTTCCATATGCAGAGACAACGAAGATTGCCAGAAGAACATGCTCGATTTTATGCAGCTGAAATTTCCTTAGCTCTAAATTTCTTGCACTGTAAAGGCATTATTTACAGGTAAGAAAATTTAGTTTACAATTGTTCGTTGTGTTTCATTTTTCAAACTTTGTGTTTCCTTGACAGAGACTTAAAACTGGATAACGTACTCTTAGACCATGAGGGCCATATAAAGTTGACCGATTATGGTATGTGTAAGGAAGGTATTAGACCTGGAGACACGACTTCAACTTTTTGTGGTACTCCTAATTATATTGCCCCAGAAATTCTGAGGGGTGAAGATTATGGATTTTCTGTCGATTGGTGGGCGCTGGGTAAGTTTAAAAATTATTATAAACCTCAATTTTTTTAATTTTCTTCTTTTATAGGCGTCCTCTTGTACGAGATGTTGGCGGGTAGATCGCCCTTCGACATAGCAGGTGCTTCAGAAAATCCTGACCAGAATACTGAAGACTATTTGTTCCAAGTTATTCTGGAAAAGACCATTCGTATTCCACGATCTTTGAGTGTCAAAGCAGCTAACGTACTTAAAGGTTTCCTTAATAAGAATCCTGCTGACAGACTTGGCTGTCACAGTCCTGACTCTTTTTCTGAAATTACATCACATCAGTTCTTCAAGAGTATTGACTGGGAAATGGTAAGTTAATCGATATTTGCCTTCATAAAACTAATTAATAACTTGTAACATAATACTTGTAGTTCAATATCGTGATTATAGTATAGCAGGTTTTTGTTCCTAAATTTTATTTTCATTCTTGCATAATTAAAATCTAATTTTGTTTTTTTTAAATAAGAAATTAGTGAACAGGGGTATCATACATCTCTTATCAATTAATAAATTATTACATTAATAGTATGCAAGGTAAATGTTCTTATACATGTTTGAAAAAAACAGTGGCAACTTTATTATCTAGTACGTATTTCTAATAGATGAAATGAATCAGTTTATTTACATTCATTTCATATAACTAATTAATAATTGTGATTACAGTAATTTTTACTTACATACATTATTTTTTTTCTGCAAATACATTATCAGCTGGAATATCGTAGGGTAGCATCACCCTATAAACCTGATATCGAAAATGTTTTAGACAATTTCGATCCACAATTTACAATTGAATCATTATCCTTTACTCCAGATGATAAGTAAGTGTTTGTAACAAATTCCCAGGAATATTGCCTTTATCAGTGTGTCTGATGTTGGCTTGCCAGCATTTAATTAATTCGTAGTAGTCTTTATTTAATTATTAAAATGTAGCAGACTCCGCTCTCTCTGATTGGTTCATTGAATGCTTTAGAATTGCTAGAGTAGTCTTTCCTTTCTTACAGTTGGAGCAAAAACAAGTAGCACCCCCGTATAAACCCAGGTTAGAAGGTGATCGTGACTTGGCTAACTTTCCGCCAGAATTTACAGACGAACCAGTACATTTGACCCCTGATGACCCGTAAGTGCTCGTTTTTATTTAATGTAACCACCCCACAAATAATCGCTACCTTATACATATATGCATAGATCGTACGAATTAATTTATTTGGTTTTTGTTCTAGACGTGTGATAGAAAAAATTGATCAATCAGAATTCGAAGGTTTCGAGTACGTAAATCCATTGCTCATGTCGCTAGAAGACTGTGTGTGACATCACGAGCTTTGCGTCTTACATCCCTACAACCTGCCTCCTCCTCCCATGCATCGTTTGCCACCACCGCCCCCTCCACCGCCACCTGACGATCTCGACCTTAATTTCATGCATTTGGACATGCGACCCAGCAAGTCAATTCTACAAAATATATTTTGCCTTCCATTGAACTAATGTTACACATTAATTAAAATGTTTATTAATTAAAAATTACATATAACGGTAGTGCTTTGCAGACGAAGAATTTTGATCTTTTAAGAGGGTCAACTTGTTCATCCTTATTATGTATTGCGCTAATGGAAATGGCTCCGCAGATTTGTTAATAGGGTAAGTTGTTCAACAGTTTACAAGTAGCACAATTAACGCTAATCTTGGATTTTTAAACAGTAGATTTGATATTTTGGTATTCTTTTTATTTTGATTGCGAAGAGTTTATTTTCCTTTATATTTTCGTGCTAATTCGTAATACTAATGCTTGTGTAATTCGTTATTAAAAGTAGTGAAGATATTTTAGAATTTCGTCATTCATCAAGACAAATATGATAAATTTCAGTATTGTATTATATATTACAATTTTTATAAAAAAAGAAGTTTTTTAAGTACATACTATTCTCTGTTTATTTAATTCAAACTACTAAGGACAAGTCTGCCCAGTCACTTTCAAATTTAATTTTTCTAATCTATTTATTTAATGCAAACTATACTAATACACTTTTAGTACAGTGGCTAGTACCTTATAATTATTAACGTACTAATTAAAGTAATTAACTTTCTGTATTTAAAACAAAAACGTGAAAAACTACTCTTCAGTATTTCATTAGCTTAAAACATAAGATGCCATTATTGACTGTTATCACATTCCAAAAATAAGTACTTAAATAACTAGTTGTTTATGCGAGGAATTTAAAAAAATGAGAAATTTAGCTAAACAATAATTCATTTGAATTTTGCAGTGGATATATATGCAAATTACAAATGGATTAATTCTTATAATAGGTAGATACAAGAAAACTATTGCTATAAAGTGATATACATAATAATGAATAATATTTAATGATAAAGCACTGATATATGTTTGTAATCGAATTATCTATTCTATATCAGTGGCATCTGTTACATTCCATTTAAAAGACTAGTTAATTTAATAATTATTAAGAGCATTTAAAGGATTTTATGCGTAATTTGACTTAATTAGTTGCTTCGATTAACAACATAAAAGGAAATCTCATCTTTACTGTTTAACATTTAGAGGTCATAGCAGGGTACCCAAGGCGAACCACCCATGCAGTTGTAGTTCTCATATTTCTTGTAGAAGTTACTCAATTCATAATGAAAAGCAGAAAATTAGTCAAAAAGGTCACTAATTTATGATTAGAACGAAATTTTTTTTATTCATAATAATTAGACATTGGCGAGCATAACATTGTGTTAATTTGAAAACAATACGACTTATGGATTTTTATAGCGATTTATTATTCTAATAAACGGATAAAAAGTAGAAAGAGGAGACTGTGGTAAATATTAATTAAAAATTACATATAACGGTAGTGCTTTGCAGACGAAGAATTTTGATCTTTTAAGAGGGTCAACTTGTTCATCCTTATTATGTATTGCGCTAATGGAAATGGCTCCGCAGATTTGTTAATAGGGTAAGTTGTTCAACAGTTTACAAGTAGCACAATTAACGCTAATCTTGGATTTTTAAACAGTAGATTTGATATTTTGGTATTCTTTTTATTTTGATTGCGAAGAGTTTATTTTCCTTTATATTTTCGTGCTAATTCGTAATACTAATGCTTGTGTAATTCGTTATTAAAAGTAGTGAAGATATTTTAGAATTTCGTCATTCATCAAGACAAATATGATAAATTTCAGTATTGTATTATATATTACAATTTTTATAAAAAAAGAAGTTTTTTAAGTACATACTATTCTCTGTTTATTTAATTCAAACTACTAAGGACAAGTCTGCCCAGTCACTTTCAAATTTAATTTTTCTAATCTATTTATTTAATGCAAACTATACTAATACACTTTTAGTACAGTGGCTAGTACCTTATAATTATTAACGTACTAATTAAAGTAATTAACTTTCTGTATTTAAAACAAAAACGTGAAAAACTACTCTTCAGTATTTCATTAGCTTAAAACATAAGATGCCATTATTGACTGTTATCACATTCCAAAAATAAGTACTTAAATAACTAGTTGTTTATGCGAGGAATTTAAAAAAATGAGAAATTTAGCTAAACAATAATTCATTTGAATTTTGCAGTGGATATATATGCAAATTACAAATGGATTAATTCTTATAATAGGTAGATACAAGAAAACTATTGCTATAAAGTGATATACATAATAATGAATAATATTTAATGATAAAGCACTGATATATGTTTGTAATCGAATTATCTATTCTATATCAGTGGCATCTGTTACATTCCATTTAAAAGACTAGTTAATTTAATAATTATTAAGAGCATTTAAAGGATTTTATGCGTAATTTGACTTAATTAGTTGCTTCGATTAACAACATAAAAGGAAATCTCATCTTTACTGTTTAACATTTAGAGGTCATAGCAGGGTACCCAAGGCGAACCACCCATGCAGTTGTAGTTCTCATATTTCTTGTAGAAGTTACTCAATTCATAATGAAAAGCAGAAAATTAGTCAAAAAGGTCACTAATTTATGATTAGAACGAAATTTTTTTTATTCATAATAATTAGACATTGGCGAGCATAACATTGTGTTAATTTGAAAACAATACGACTTATGGATTTTTATAGCGATTTATTATTCTAATAAACGGATAAAAAGTAGAAAGAGGAGACTGTGGTAAATATTAATTAAAAATTAAAAGGAAGACTCACCCCTAATTACCACATAAAAAAATTTATTTGAACGGACACTTGTTTCGTCCACTTCATACGTGGGCATTATCAACGCTCAAATAAAGATCTTTTTGTGGTAATTAAGGGTGAGTCTTCCTTTTAATTTTTAATAAACTAATAGTATTCATGTAGGTATACCAAAAATTGATAACTTCAACCAGAGATTTTAAACAAATTTGTTTCTATGAAGAAAGATTGAAGTAACTCAGACATGCTTTCAGAACGCCCTCCTTCATTTAATCACGAACCACCACTCGATCATCAAAAAAAGTATTTCTTTTTTTTAACTTAAGCTAGTACGATTTCAATGTGACCCCTGACATTAGGAATAGTTAGTTCATGCCTACCCAGCTACGACCTTTACTTGAAATAGTGAGTATATAACTAATATTGTTGTAATGAAGTTAAAATATTTTAAATAAAAATCCTATCCATTGGACTAATTTACCGGATTGAGATGAAGATAAAAAATTAATATACTATTAGACATAGTCAAAATAGTATTTTATAAGTTGTAAGACTTTTGTTGTGTATTTTTCCCTATTAATATTTAATAATTATAAATATTTAGCTATTATCTGATTCCATGACGCCTTGCTTGTTAAAAATGAACTTAATTATTAAATATGCATATATACTGCTGTAATACATATAAGTTCGTTAAGAAAAATGTACGGGCAAATTTCTTCTGCAGATTCTAAGTAATCAAAAGAAGATAGAAATATAAACCTCGAAATTACTATCCTGCTTTTGATAAGTACATATATGTGTAATAAATATTTCTTACTTTGCACGTGAGAGTTCAGGCCGACGAATTAAATTGTGTATTATTACCTTTTATTTGGAACAAAGAATTTTTTTTATTTGATTTGAGAAAGTTGATTTTTAATTGGATTGATTTTTGGTCTGTGCTTTTCGTGCTCACGATTGAACCTTGTCAGTGATGTTTTTGTACTTAACGTGGAACGTTTTATGAACGAGAATTATATATTGTCATTGAAATTACTATTTTTAGTGTTGTGATGCAATTAAACGAAAAAAAAAAAAAGGATATGCTTGATGGATATGACTTCGAAGAAATTTTCGATTAACTTAATAAAGAGAATGTACTGCGTTTAATGTATTCATTAATTTTTAGTTTATATTTACTCTTATTTAATGTATAATTTATAATAAATATTTAAACACTTTTCAGTAGCTCTTAAACTTTTTGTCTCCTTAAAAATTTATTTCCACTTTAGATTGCCATGATGAGGTACTTTCATATAAAAAAAAATTCTAAATTTTACCAATTGCCAATCGTAATTAAAGGTATTCTTCCTTCATAACTAAATGAAAAGTAATATAGGGCCTATTAACGGCTCCAAGCATCAGTGACTGTGCAGACAGACATGCATATGAGGTAAGTAAGTATATGCAAACTTGCATAATTGTAAGTACTTAACGATTAATATACGCATAGTTTGTGACTAATTATAACATTTTTGTTGGTGGTTAAGGAAGTATCTATCTAATAGATGATTTTTTTTATTAGATATAAACTATAATTAATACAGGCTCCAATACGTAGAGTCCTTTAAGGACCAATAAAGACCACAGTGGTTTTTATACCTTCTACATAAAAAAGTGAACCCCCAAAGTTATTAACTAGAGCTAATAAACAATGTTTAATCCTAGCTGTAACCCAAAATCTGATTTGGATTTTGAACAAGTAATAGTTTTGCAAAAGTGACATCTATAAGTCTTTCCACAACTATGATAAAATAAATACCAAATGTTTGGATCAACACTAGCCACTACATTTATTGATTTATTTTAATTAGGTAATTAATTAGACTTCATTGCCTATTTAAATACATATGTCGAATACTTAAAACGACTAAAATTATTCCTGATTTTATTTTAACTTAATTGCTTATATTCAATTTTTATTTAGTTGTATAAGTGAAGCAAAAGTTAATTAAATGTGATTATTTTCGTTTAATCGTAAATTAATGAAATTACTGCTAACGAAATATAACTTTATTACAGGTATTCGCCTGCATTGGCGTATTCTCCACAATAACAACCGCAAACATATTTCTCTTTTTGTTGCCTGTTGCTATAGTTACATTGTAATATTAGACAATAACATCTTCAACAGATAAGTATTAAGGATGTGATTGGCCGAACCCAAGAATTTTACTTTCACTGCCGTCACGTGCCGAAAACGAGTGTCGTTTGTTAGCGTGTTCCACTCGCGCGAGTAGTTTCGAAGTTCGGCAGTTGAATAAGCTTTGCTTAAACAATAAATAATTTTATTGTAAAAAAGTTGTGATGGATTTATTGGCAGTGTCGGTCGTTTTTTGGATATTTTGTAAGGAGTAGTAACGTGTTTGTTAATGTTAACTATTATGTGAATCACAAAACTTTGAGATATGGAAGCAGCCAAGGAATCCTTCGGAGCTGAATTATTCTTCGTCGAATTGGTGAGTGATAAATTTATACATTTCAATAGTGAATATAATTTTAATTTGACCCGCAATGATAGGAAATTCAATTTTTATCCGCAATAGATAAAAAATGAATTAATCCTTTTAAGGATATTCGAATTGGTTTCTATACATTGGTAGGTGCGAATTACTGAATATATCACTTCTTCATTTGATTTTTTTTTGTGGTGTCTTAGCAATTGATATTATACACATTCCATAAATAATTGTGTCTGATACTACTGGATATCATTTAATTATATAAAACGTTTTGAACAAGAACAAATATAAAAAACAGAGTTTAATGTCACACATTGTAACCAACGATATGAAATTTTCCAATACATTCTCCGACCCAAAACCAGCATCCAACTTCAGTAGCAACAAGAAAATTTAACCAAGCATCGCGTACTGTGGTTTGTCTCCATTCTTGGTTTTTAAAATATTTTATTAATTTTGGTATACCACTTAAAGCTTCCGGTATCTCTGCTGGTTTTGGAGGAACCAATTCTACTTCAGCATACGTCATAAACACTTTTGCGAATGGTTTGGATAATTCTATACCAGTTTTAATTAGTTTTTGAACTTTATCAGTCATTGCTTACTACACCAATATAAAACAAAGTTACAGAAAAATATTTAGTACCTTTGACGTTTTATATTTCATTAAAACTTGAAGCGTTTGTAATTTGTTTACAGTTCACTAGATAATTGAGTAAACAATAACTACACAAATTAAGTAATGTTATATTTAACTGTTTTGTTTCTATGCTAGCTTTAATGTATGAAATGAAAAACTTTGGCTTATATATATAAATATTATATTGTATAATGTTCCAAAATTGTATTACAATTGTTTATCTATAATAGCCATACTGTATAGTATCAGGGAAAAACGATAACGATGAAGGACTTTTTTTATATTTATGTTGACTAGAAATAAGGTGAAAAATAATTGTCGATAAAAAGCATCCAAAAAAAGGTCCAAGCCAGTAAACGAAAAGATGATCTTTAATATCTGTCCCCTGACATCCTAATTTCATTGCAGATGCAACGGCGGGGTTGTAGTAGCCACCAGTAAAGTCAGCACCTAAATAAGAAAGGGTGGTAGAAAACTTGCGTTTCGTTATTCCCCATGTTATTTATCAGTTACCTGCTATTACAAGTGATATTATGCACAATGCTCTCACTACTCCTGCAGTAATTGCGTTCACATCGCTTACAGTTCTCGACACTAATCTTCCCACACAGGTACCAATCCCTTCGATTAAAAAACCTTTGTAAATATCTACCTAAAAATTAAATTAAGATCAATTGTTTATCGGAATTAATAAGAGAATATTGTAGAGTTAAATTGCAATTACGTTAAGTGTTATTTCGTTCTGATATTGTACACTAAAACGTTAATTTTGATAATGGTTGTGGTCTTTACTTGGCGAAAATTAGCCTTCTAGCGAAGTATCCTGTTGGGGTGGGGGGTCGTCACCGAATAACCAACTGCAATATTTTATTTATATAACTAGTTTTATACACACACGTCCAAAAATATTCATTTATAAATAAAAAATAATTATCAAATATTAATGTTAAATCAACTTAATTTCATTCGACAACAGATTACCTCAAGTCAATGAGGTAAAACTATAGGGTTGTTCGGAAAGTCATTTCGTTTTTTCCCGACAGAGGATTTATTGAGAGAGCTCATATAGCAAGGCTTGTGTGTGAAAAATTCCAATTAATTCTACGCAGTAGTTTTTGGTTGGTGCCCTTTTAAATATGGAGAGCGATAAGCAGCATTTTCGACATATCTTACTGTTTTACTACAGAAAGGGTAAAAATGCTGTTCAAGCCAGAAAGAAATTGACTGATGTGTATGGAGAAGGTGTGTTGACAGTACGCCAGTGCCAGAACTGGCTCGCTAAATTTCGATCCGGCAATTTTGATGTCAAAGATGCACCACGTTCGGGAAGGCCGGTTGAAGCTGATAAAGACGCGATAAAGGCATTAGTTGATGTGAACCGGCGAATAACAACACGTGAGATCGGATTGAAGTTTTATCAAATTCAACAGTTTGACCACTTGAAAGGCCTAGGATTATCCTCGAAGCTCGATGTATGGGTTCCCCATGTTCTCACAGAGAGAAATCTGTGTCGCCGCATTGACGTCTGCGATTCGTTTCTCAAACGTCACGAAAATGATCCGTTTTTGAAGCGCATCATCACTGGGGACGAAAAATGGGTTGTATACAACAACGTCAAACGCAAGAGGTCATGAAGCAAAAAAGATTTCCAAAGCCGATATTCACCAAAAAAAGATGGTGCTGTCTGTTTGGTGGGATTTTAAAGGAGTCGTTTTTTTTGAGCTTTTACCGGATAACACAACGATTAATTCGGAAGTCTACTGTCATCAGCTGGACAAACTGAATGATGCACTTCAACAGAAAAGGTCAGAACTAATCAACAGGAAAGGTGTGGTGTTTCACCAAGACAACGCGAGACCTCACACAAGTTTGGTCACTCGCCAAAAGCTTTTACAGCTTGAATGGGATACAATGCTACACCCACCATATTCTCCAGACCTGGAACCATCGGATTATTATTTGTTCCGGTCACTCCAAAATTTTTTAGACGGTAAAACCTTCACCTCAAATGAGGAGGTCAAAAACCTCCTCGATCAGTTTTTTGCCAGCAAAGACCAAAAATTTTATGAGCGTGGAATTATGCTACTACCAGAAAGATGGCAAAAGGTGTTGGACCAGAACGGTCAATATATAATTTAATAAAGTATTTGTTTATTATACGAAAACTGTCTTTCATTTCAACAAAAAAAAAACGAAATGACTTTCCGAACAACCCTATATTTGTTGCTGCTGTGACAGCCTCACCAACAATCGAATTCGAATAAAGTATTGATATTAAGCGTAGTTTTGCGAAATATAAAATTTTATAAGTGCCCTAAATTGGATTTGATTCATTTCGCATTGGAATAATAACGGAAAGAAATTAATGTCTTTTCCGTAATTTTGATTGTTTCGTTTTATAATTTAAAAAATTAAACAATACCTACGTAAAAGCAAAAGTTCACCGTTCAGTATCAAAAATGTCCAACATAATTCAATACACAATGTATAGGTAATTAGTTTTCATTTCATCTACATTGAATTACCTTCAAGTCGGTTGTACAAGGCGATAAGTCTCTGCCAGCATGGAACTCTGTAAGTTCAAGTTCCCAAAATGCTTGTACATACGAATAAATGCAAGTAGCCCCAATAACTTGAGCTAAGATTAATGCTAATCCTTCTTCCGGATATATAGAACCTTCTACGACATCTTCAAAGGGCCGATAAGGACAACCAGATTCTTTTGTCCATGAAAAAGACCACCACAATAGCAGAATAAATGTAATAGTACATCCGGCTGATATGCCATATATTTCCGCAACTAATTGTTAATTAAGAAAAAATAATACGCCATATAATACACATAGGTAAATTGATATTTCCAAAATTGAAACCCACCGACAACTACCTCAAAACAACATGCGCACAGCTCAGATGACGCAATCATTTCCAAAATAGTTCTTTTCAAGAGGCCGTCATGTATCAACATTTTTACCATTGTTCGAGAAGTGATTGCTAAGAGTATTGTAAAAATCAAAAACGAACAAGATATAATAAGGGCCTCCATTTTCCATATCGTTTAATATCCTTCAAAGTATATGTATCGAACAGAGAAAAAAAATTAAAAATTTTGACATTTTTATATATAATTTTTGACAAAGTAACCAATTAAATCAATACAATGTGTCCCACATATCCTTAGCTTATTTAAAAAAACTGTTTTATCGCAAATACTAAGACAATTTTCTTGACATTTATATTGATTTATATGCCTGGCAATGGCTGATGCGTATGAAGTTAGAATTACTTTTAAAACTTATCAACCGATGATTATTTCTTTTTAATATAAGTATATTAAATATTTGTAATAGTACCTATTCAAATGTGGTAAGGAAAGATAAATGCATTAGTTCATTTTCATATTTTTTTATTCCCCTTCGAAGTACAGTACACGTTAATATGTTGATATTAATTACCATAGATGAGAGGCAAAAAGAAAAATTGTGTTTTGTTATGAATTAACTAAATTTTCACATAAATAACTTGCTCCGAAACTCCCTATAAGCGGCCCTAACCAGTACACTATAAAATGATCAAAAAATCTGAAGTCCTCACAGCCAAATTGCATTGCCATTGCAAGAGATGGACTAAAGAAACCACCAGTATAGTCCAGAGCTGAAAGAATAACAACTAGAAGTAACTACTTATATAGAAAATGTCGTTTTTTTACCAGCAACTACGGTATAAATTAAAGCAAACGTTTTCAAAAGTACTCCAGGAACCAATTCCATTGAACTGCAACCTCTTCCTGCAATTTTATTTAAACCAACACCTATTGCTTCTACTAACATACCTGACCACATACGAATCTACAAAATAGTTTTATTTTTTATAATTATAGGATATTTTCAAAAACCAAAATGTTTTCACAAAAAATGTTCTTAAGACACTCGAACGTAGTTACCTTAGGCCCAGCGCTGCATTTGGCACAAATTCTCGCTTTGTGCTCTTTCGTCAGTTGCAACATCCAAAAAGATTTAGCCGCCAAAAAACCGAGATAGAAACCTATTATTTGTGTAGTAACTATTGCTATTGCTTCACAAACACCGGCTTCTTCATTAATAACCTCCTCCATAATTTCATCAACAGAACTCATAACTGGTCCTCTAGTTAAACCCCACCAAAGTTGGAGAAAAAATAAAAGATAAAAATACATCGGTAATCCAAACTTGTCTGAAACTTTTATTAAAAACAATAAGTCTGTTTCCGTGAAGAATTTGTAACAATTTTGAATTTCATTTTCAATGAGAATTTGTCTCCTTCTTACCAGTTTGAAGTTCACAACTGACGGCTGTAGATTCGATGCATGTGATTACTATAAGGGCAAAACACTTTTGAGGATCGTCCAAATTTTCTCTTATACAACATCTAAGTATTCTTGAGAATATTAACATTGCAAATATATATGCCAAAGATATTAAAAGTACATCTCCATCGTTACATGCCATGTCCACTTTAAGCTTTCAGAAGGGCAGTATTTACAATAATTTTCGTTTTTTTTTTAAATTTTTNCATGAATAGGAACGAGGTACATACAAGGAAGGAAATAAAATCGCCCTTACTTCTGTAGGAACTTCAAAATTGAATTAAAGCAGCTTTTATTTATACATTCATATAAGTTAAAAGAATCTAAAAGTTTGATTATATTCTACCCAGTTTGGAACATCAAACTGAAATATTCCTGATACTTCTTCGTACCTCTGTTAAAGGCCAAGATACACGCCTGCTCTGAAGTTGCCGCTCCAAATTCCAAAAGGTCAACACATACGAACATCTTCGTACCTTTGTTTCGTTCCTGATGCTTCCTCGTATCTCTGTTAATGGCCAAGAATCATCATATTGGTCAATCTAAGTGACCATGCTGGCTTTGGTTCAGAGATGATACAAGCTATTTAAAAAAGAATGCCAAAGCAGCCTTCTTCGTACCTCTGTTAAAGGCCAAGGTACACGCCTGCTCTGAAGTTGCCGCTCCAAATTCCAAAAGGTCAACACATACGATCATCTTCGTACCTTTGTTATGGGCCAAGGCACACGCCGAATTCAAACTGAAAACATGAATAGGAACGAGGTGCATACAAGGAGGGAAATCAAACCGCCCTTACTTCTGTAGGAACTTCAAAATTGAATTAAAGCAGCTTTTATTTTCCAACGTCAAACAATACATTAATATTTTACTTCATTATTCTTTGAGTGCAGTACATAATTGTAAGTACGAACCTCTCCAGTTGCACATGCCCAATACATTAAAATATACATATATACACAATTTTCAACACATCAAAATTTAGTGTTCGAACCGTTACCTTGGGAAGTGTAGTTTTAATTGCCAAAATGCCACCACATACGATCACCTTCGTATCTTTGTTATGGGCGAAGGCACACAAAGATGGAAATAAAACTGCCCTTACTTCTGTACGAACCCTACCTGACCTAGAATCATCATCTTACCTTTGTTATGGGCCAAGGCACACGCCTAAACTATACTGTAAACATGAAACGGGGTGAGGTGCATACAAACAGAGAAATAAAACCGCCCTTTTTCTGTAGGTACTTCAAAATTGAATTAAAGCAGCTTTTATTTCCCAACGTCAGACAATACATTCATATAAGTTAAAACAATCAAAAAGTTTGAATATATTCAACCCAGTTTGGAACATCAAAGTGAAATATTCCTAATACTTCTTCGTACCTCTGTTAAGGGTCAAGATACACGCCTGCTCTGAACTTGCAGCTCCAATTCCAAAAGGCCACATACGATCATATTCGTACCTTTGTTATAGGCCAAGGCACACGCCGAATCCAAACTGAAAACATGAATAGGAACGAGGTGCATACAAGGAGCGAAATAAAACAGCCCTTACTTCTGTGGGAACTTCAAAATTGAATTAGAGCAGCATTTATTTTCCAACGTCAAACAGTACAATCGTATAAGTAAAAACAATCAAAACATTTAAAGGCATTAAACTCAGTTTAAAACTTAAACTGAATCGTTCCTGATGTTTCTTCGTATCTCTGTTAATGGCCAAGAATCATTACATTGGCCAATCTAAGTGACCATGCTGGCTTTGGTTCAGAGATGATACAAAATATTAAAAAAAGAATTCCTAAGCAGCGCCCATGTTTAAAACTGCACCTCTCGTGCATCGTGTTGAAGCAAGTCATAAACCCAATTTTGAAAAAGTGAATATTCTATTTACTGCATAGTAAAAACGGAGTACTTTTGAAGATTATTATTGCAGGTTGAGTATATTCTTGTTCATGGAAATAAATCGGTCAACTTAAAAGCCATTTGAAAATAATTTTGTGGTTAGTAAAATTGTTATATTTTCAAGAAATGGTAAACAAATAACCTTCTACTCAGAATTACCGGATCATAATAAAATCTTAACATACAGTCAGTTTCTCTATGTTCAAAAAAATTAAACTGTACTGTATTATTATGTATTAAAACTGAATTAAATAACTTAGCATTGTATACAATATGAGTACATTAGGATGTGCTTCTATTGTATATATTGCCAAGTTTACAACTAGAATAAGTTAGTTAATTTGGTTTTAATGGATAATAAACAGGCACAACCCAGTTTAAAGTTTTGTGAGCATTCAATAAGTTGACTAATTTACAACTTCTTTATTTATATGCAATTAGGCGATTCGGAGTTGAAGGTTGGCTACCTTGAATTTCTTGAAAATATTGTAATAATTTCATTAACAACTAAATTATTTTCAAAATCGGTACTTAAGTTCACCGTTTGCTATTCCATGAACGATAATATGCATAACTTTTAAAAGTAAATCATTTCTAAAAGTAGTTATGTTTACTATGCAGTCTTAACCATTTCCAAACTAGGTTTATGAACCATTTCAGAAGAAGGTGGAGAAGTGCAGTTTTATAGGTCGTGGTTACTTCGAAATTCTTTTTGAAAACGATTACTAGTATACACTCTGAGCCGAATTCGGCTTGATCTCTTATCTGATTGTTCTTTTCTATTCTATTCCTCTAGCCCAATTGAATTCGTAAACCTAAAACAGTAAAAAGCATTTGCCACCTTCCGTTCGCTGTAGTATATTACTACACCCAGGGGTCACGACGAGGACGTGGAAGTGTGACTTGCTGGTATCACTCTTAAAACTAAACGAGAGGAATACCAGCCATTCGACCCCCACAGCTAATTCTAATGATACACGTATCTTTGATAAATTAACTTTTATTATACGTATATCACTAGATTACACAAGCTGTATATTAATTATATGTAAACCTTAAAATTAATTAGATTTGAACATCGGATTATTTCGTAACGTACAATCAATACATAGATATAAAAATGCAAAAGAACGGTATACTTGACGCATAAAAAGTTGCTAGAGGGTCATGTTTTGCTCGCTCGATAATGCTCAAGACTGCAAACTATGAAATTTTAAGGTAGTAGTTGGATTAAACGCGAGGAGATGTTGATAGCTACGCCAGAATTTTCAATTAAATATCCTATATTGCACCTATCAACCATGCACCATGTTGCATATCCTGCTATTTATTGATGCATGTCCTTTTTTGTTATCTTTTCTGTCAATGAGCTAAACTGTTCAAAAATTTGCGTTTTGTCCTTATATTTTCTCTTGTTCGTATGTTATCCTGTTATTTATTAAAACTCTGCGATTATTTTTGGGATTATTTGCTCCTATTGCTTTTCTTCATATGTACATAGGTGTATATCCTTTAGTTACCCTTGAAGTGGTCTCCTTGTAATGTTATATTTAACCTTTACGTTAGTCATTCTGTCTTTGCATTCTTCTGCCTAACTTTTCATTGAAACTCCGATATCCTTTTTTTTTAATGGAATATTATTGTATATACATTGTCCTCGTTTTTTGTCTCTTACCTTAGAGTATTCATTGAAAGTCGGCTGTATACTTCGCCTCCTTAATTGTTGATAATTTATTCAATTGTTTTTATTGTTTGAAGCAGTTTCGTTTCCTCCTATTTGTACGTTATCGTGAAGACGCTCTTCTTGTCATGACGTTGCTCAGTTTTTATTACAAAGAAAAATGTAAAAGGCCTAACATACATAACTTAATTAAACCAACCTTTCGCTTTAGCCACTCCATACCTTAAAAATAATTAATAATGAATTGCTATTGTTGCAATTTATTATAGAGGACTACCAAAAGCGTAGGATTAACATGAAGACAGGTATTATCTAATTCTTATTGTGAAGTAGCACAAGCTGCCTCGTTCATTCATCTTTATTTATAATTAAGCACAATTTTTTGGTTTTAGTTTTATTATTTATCTGGTACCTGGGTATTTGTAAAATAATTGATACAAAACGCAGTCTATAATACGTAATTGTTGTTTATTCTTTTAAATAGTTACGCTATATACATACGACAAATCCCTCCCACATTCTAATTACCCATCAGTATCACATTAGAAATTAATAATCGTATATAATTACTTGCTTATATTTCTGCAAATAAAAATAGCGACACCTGCAAATAACCAGATGAAGTGTTCCGCGTAAACGGTTATCATGACCGTAATTATAACTGCGTTTTCTGTCGTATTTTTATTGTTCATCTAGTACATATTTGTAATATAATTGATACAAAATGTACCTGCCTGTACCAACCGTAATTACATAGAAATATTTTGGGAATAATTTTAGTTATAAATATTCATCTGCCAATTACATACACCTACATGAATTATTAATTATACTTCATGTAACTCCAATTATAAAACGACTTCCTACTATTTTCTCATATTCGTACGTTTTATCTATATTAGAAAACAATGGTGTACTGTGCTAGTTATTACTTCCGTAGCCTTTTCTATATCATGTATGCTACGCAAACATTCAAAGAATTATATATAAAAATATTTGTAAATCATATGTTAAAAATAAAAGGGACGTAGTCACTTGAGAATGACCAGACGAAGAGTTCAGCGTAAACGGTCATAATAACTTTTGTTATAAATATTCATCAACAAATTACAAACATATACATATATCACCTACCTTTAATTAATTATACTTCATGTAACTCCAATTGTATAACTTGTTGCTATTCATTGATGCAATTGTTCGTCATCTTTTCTGCCAATAAACTAAAAAGTTGCATTGTCCTTTGCTTCGTTTACATTTTTTCATATTCATATGTTATCCATTTTAGAAAAAAATCTTGCACTGTACTGATTATTACTTCTGTATCCTTTTCTATACCATGTATGCTACGCAAACATTAGGAAAAATACATGTAAGAATTTGTAAATCATATGCTGAAAATAAAAAAAGCGTGGACACCTGCGAATGACCAGATGAAGAGTTCCGCGTAAACGGTCATACTGACCCCGTAAACGAGCACGCCTTGTTGGTCGTACTTTTATTGTTCATCTGGTAAGCTGTTTGTAATATTATTGATACAAAGTGTAGCAAAAGTCACAGCAACTACCCAAAAACTCAACCTGTAGTATTTGTTGAGTATTTTTTGTATGTTGATGTGTTGTTAATTTAAATAGGTACATACATCCACCAAGCTCTTTCCACCCTCTAAATTACTTATGATTAGTGGCGGATTTGCGGTCCTAGCCACTCTAGGCCCCAGGCCATATGCCGCCCCTTTCTCAACACCCATCAGAGACTAGATGCATAATTCATGATTTTGTTATCATCAGTGATTTTTTGGCACGATTTGCCGCCCTTAATATCTGGCCGCCCTAGGCCCGGGCCTACTGGGCCTTATGGCAAATCCGCCAATGCTTATCATCATCACTTTACAAATTAAAAATCAAAAATCATATGTAGTTATTTGCATATAAACATCTGCAAATAAAAATAGACGGGACACCTGCGAATGGCCAGGTAAGCCGGGACACCTGCAAATGGCTAGGTAAAGCTTTTCGCGTAAACGATCGTACTGACCGTAATCAAGCCAGCCTTGTTGGTCGTGCATTTAATGTTCATCCAGTAATCTATTTGCAGTGTTATTGATACAAGGTGTAGCAAAGTTTACAGCAACAACCCAAAACCTCAACGTGTAATAATTGCCGAATATTTTCTGTATATGGTTGTGTTATTCTCTTAAATAGGTACTCAATATACATCCACCAAGCCCTTTCCACCTTCTAAATTACTTTTCAGCATCACGTTCCAAATGAAAAATCAAAAATCATATGCAATTACATGATCGTACTGACCATAATCAAGCCTACCTTATTGGTGGTACTTTTATTGTTCATCTAGTACCTGTTTTTAATATTTATTAAATAGGGATGCAATATACATCCACCAAGCCCTTCCCACCTTCTAAATTACTTATCAGCATCACGTTGCAAATGAAAAATCAAAAATCATATGCAATAATTACATGATCGTACTGACCGTAATCAAGCCCGCCTTGTTGGTCGTACTTTTATTGTTCATCTATCGTAGTATCTTTTTGTAATATTATTTAAATAGGGATGCAATATACATCCACCAAGCCCTTCCCACCTTCTAAATTACTTATCAGCATCACGTTGCAAATGAAAAATCAAAAATCATATGCAATAATTACATGATCGTACTGACCGTAATCAAGCCCGCCTTGTTGGTCGTACTTTTATTGTTCATCTATCGTAGTATCTTTTTGTAATATTATTTAAATAGGGATGCAATATACATCCACCAAGCCCTTCCCACCTTCTAAATTACTTATCAGCATCACGTTGCAAATGAAAAATCAAAAATCATATGCAATAATTACATGATCGTACTGACCGTAATCAAGCCCGCCTTGTTGGTCGTACTTTTATTGTTCATCTATCGTAGTATCTTTTTGTAATATTATTTAAATAGGGATGCAATATACATCCACCAAGCCCTTCCCACCTTCTAAATTACTTATCAGCATCACGTTGCAAATGAAAAATCAAAAATCATATGCAATAATTACATGATCGTACTGACCGTAATCAAGCCCGCCTTGTTGGTCGTACTTTTATTGTTCATCTATCGTAGTATCTTTTTGTAATATTATTTAAATAGGGATGCAATATACATCCACCAAGCCCTTCCCACCTTCTAAATTACTTATCAGCATCACGTTGCAAATGAAAAATCAAAAATCATATGCAATAATTACATGATCGTACTGACCGTAATCAAGCCCGCCTTGTTGGTCGTACTTTTATTGTTCATCTATCGTAGTATCTTTTTGTAATATTATTTAAATAGGGATGCAATATACATCCACCAAGCCCTTCCCACCTTCTAAATTACTTATCAGCATCACGTTGCAAATGAAAAATCAAAAATCATATGCAATAATTACATGATCGTACTGACCGTAATCAAGCCCGCCTTGTTGGTCGTACTTTTATTGTTCATCTATCGTAGTATCTTTTTGTAATATTATTTAAATAGGGATGCAATATACATCCACCAAGCCCTTCCCACCTTCTAAATTACTTATCAGCATCACGTTGCAAATGAAAAATCAAAAATCATATGCAATAATTACATGATCGTACTGACCGTAATCAAGCCCGCCTTGTTGGTCGTACTTTTATTGTTCATCTATCGTAGTATCTTTTTGTAATATTATTTAAATAGGGATGCAATATACATCCACCAAGCCCTTCCCACCTTCTAAATTACTTATCAGCATCACGTTGCAAATGAAAAATCAAAAATCATATGCAATAATTACATGATCGTACTGACCGTAATCAAGCCCGCCTTGTTGGTCGTACTTTTATTGTTCATCTATCGTAGTATCTTTTTGTAATATTATTTAAATAGGGATGCAATATACATCCACCAAGCCCTTCCCACCTTCTAAATTACTTATCAGCATCACGTTGCAAATGAAAAATCAAAAATCATATGCAATAATTACATGATCGTACTGACCGTAATCAAGCCCGCCTTGTTGGTCGTACTTTTATTGTTCATCTATCGTAGTATCTTTTTGTAATATTATTTAAATAGGGATGCAATATACATCCACCAAGCCCTTCCCACCTTCTAAATTACTTATCAGCATCACGTTGCAAATGAAAAATCAAAAATCATATGCAATAATTACATGATCGTACTGACCGTAATCAAGCCCGCCTTGTTGGTCGTACTTTTATTGTTCATCTATCGTAGTATCTTTTTGTAATATTATTTAAATAGGGATGCAATATACATCCACCAAGCCCTTCCCACCTTCTAAATTACTTATCAGCATCACGTTGCAAATGAAAAATCAAAAATCATATGCAATAATTACATGATCGTACTGACCGTAATCAAGCCCGCCTTGTTGGTCGTACTTTTATTGTTCATCTATCGTAGTATCTTTTTGTAATATTATTTAAATAGGGATGCAANTAAATAAAAATTTTTCGCCTCTGAATTTGCTTGATTTACTCTAAGAAATATATATTAGAGAAAAAAACAACTATTTGACTATCAAATAAAGTTAATTATTCAATAACATAAATTGATCAAATTTTAAATTGTAATAATACACAAAACAATGGTCCTCCAGCTAGCATTATTAATTCACACCAAGAACCTCAGGAGACCATTATGAAATATCGATCCTTACCATACTTTCACATAAACTTACAAAACCTTTTAAAAAAATTAAAATCAACATCGTTTACTATAATGTGGTTACCAACAAATTTTTAAAAAACAAAAAGACAAAGATCCTCCGGAAAGGTTAAGTCATCTAATATACAAAGTCAAACGTAGGGACTGTGACAAATGTTACATACGACAAACTCCTCAATATCTGTTAAATCGCTTCAACCAACATCTAAATGATAGCCTCTCAGAATCCAATAACAGTGTACTTTCTTCGCCCCTGCATATCACAGGTCACACCACAACCTTCGAGGACGTATCGGTTCATCAACTTGCCACACCATCCAAAAACGACTTTTTTTGAAAATGACTCATATATACAGAATTAATAACTATATGAACCCAAGATCTGACTACGATAATCTGAGCACCATTCCCTATTATTCGCTATCTATATAATAAGTTATGAACCAGTTTGTGTTTCTCTTCGTTGATTTTCGACGTGAGGACGCTTATGGGTCCACTCTTCAGTCTTACTCTAGATCTACGATCACAACCTAAAACTTGCTCATTACCATCATTTATGGTTAACCTTTTTGTTTTGAATCCTTAGTTTACAGTTACATTATTTATGCCTTTAAAAATTAATTCACAACATGTAAGGAAAATTAACAAAAATTATAATTTCAACTTGTCATTCATATATATTTTCGTAGTGGTCTCCTGATGAAGCCAAGAATGTTGGTGAAAATTTGAGAATTAATAAATGTAACAACAGCAGCACATCGTTTTGTTCACAAGTATTTCCCTACCGACACCCGCAATTTAATTATATTTTATCGTTTTCTTTATAAGTACTTTTGTGTTATTATTTAAATAGGTAATCAAGCCCTTCCCACCGTCTAAATTACCCATCAACATCACTATGCAAATTACAAGTTATATGTAATTACTTGCATTATATCTGCAAGTAACAAGACCGTGGCCACTTGCGAAAGGCCAGATGAAGGGTTCCGCGTAAACAGTCGTCGTGACCGTAATTATGACCGCGTTTTTGGTCGTTTTTATTACGTTCATCTAGTACATATTTGTAATACTATTGATACAAAATGTACCTATCTATACCAACCGTATTTCCACAGAAATATGTGGGAATCATTTTCATTGTAAATATTCATCAGCAAAGTACATACATATACATGCGTTACCAACCTTTACTTAGTTATACTTCGTGTAACTCCAATTGTAAAAAGACTTCCTGCTATTTATTGATGCGTGCCATTATTCGTCACCTTTTCTACCAATAAACTAAAAAAGTTGCGTTATCCTTTGCTTCGCTTACATTTTCTCGTATTCGTGCGTTATCTATATTAGAAAAAACAGTGTACTGTACTGATTATTTGTAAATTGTATGCTGAAAATAAAAACTCAATCTAAAATCCACACCAACTCTTTTCTGTAAAACATCTCCTAACTTTTGACCTGCGTATAGATTCTCTAAATATTCTTGCCACCTATATCTGACTTTTTTGATTTGCTATCAAAATGACCTCTACCTCGTTTCTTATACAGTAATAGAAATAAGTGCCGAGCTTGAAGGAGGTGATGAGCGCTATAAATCATTAAAATTGAATGAATGTCTGAAAGTTCATCGTTTTCAAGAAAAACGTATTTATAATTACAGGTAAATTCAATTCTGGTTCTTACAAACAAATACAGCCTATAACACAGCACTCCATCAGCTATCGATTTCCAACATCAGTGTAGTATTTGCTTTGTATTTTTTTTTGCTCATCATCGTCATTATAAGCTGGTCAGTCCTAAGACTGGTTGGACACGTACCTCCATTCCTTCCTACCCTGAGCTAAACTTCGCATTTCCCTATAACTAGAACAACCCCACATCCTTAACTATTTGCGAACAGTAATCTAATCTAGGTCTACCTCTACCCCTCCTAACTCCTATTTCTGCCTCTAATATGTCATTGACTAGACCTTCATGTCTGAGAAGGTGTGCTACCAACCTATCTCGCCTATTTCTTATTGACTTCCATAGTCCTCTGTTCTCCTATTCTTTCTAATACATTTTCATTTCTAACCTTTTCTATCCATGTTATCCACATCATTCGCCTATAACACTACATTTCGAACGCTTCTAACCTTTTCTTTTCACTGTTCATGTTTCGCACCCGTACAACGCCGCACTCCAAACAACCGTTTTCGAATTTCCAAATTAACCATTCGCGAGCATAGAAGTGACTTCTTTTTAATAAAAGCGACACGACCCTGCGCTATCCTCTGCTTTATATTCCTACTACTCCTTCCGTCCTGACTTATCTGACTTCCTAGATATCTATAATCAGCCACTTCTTCTAACTTTTCGTCTCCTGTCTTTATATTCGCTCTTTCCCTACTTTTTCTTCCCTTGCATACCGGTATTTTAATTTTACTTTTATTTATTTTCATAGAGTACTGTTTTATCAGTACCGCTTCCATTTTATTTAAAGCTATCTCTAACTCCTCCTTACTAGATGCTAATACTGCTATATAATCTGCAAATCTAAGCATACTAATCTTTTACCCTTGTACGTCTATCCCTACAGTTGTACTGTCTTTAATGATGTTGATGGCGTCTTCGATGTATAGATTAAAAAGTAGCGGTGACAGTGTGCATCCCTGTCTGACTCCCTTCCTAATATTTACTTCTCTACGTTGCAACCCTAGCTTTATAACTGCCTTTTGTTCTTTATACGAACTAAGTATCACTCATCTATCTTTGTAACTCATCCCTACATTTTTAAGTATTTTTGCTCGTGTGTTATTTATTTGTTAGATTAGATTAAGTGTGATTCAGGGTGTTTATATTAACAGCCAACAACCTATAGTAGCCGTTTATTCTTTTAACATTTAAGCCTTGTATGAGGCAATCGATATGCAGTTCAATAAACCAATTCAGTAATACAACATCTATTATTAGTGCAGGTGTCACTGTAGAACAATTGTTAATTATATCGACGTTGTAGGAACAAAATCCTCAATTTTAAATTAGAAGACAACCCCCAAAATAGCACAAGTGAAACAGCAGAGATAGTGTGGTAAATTTTAAAAGTAGTTGCTGCATTCTTATCATCTGCCAAGAACCTTGAAACTGGTTTTCATCCGCGAGTTAATTTTCGTTAGTGGCTTCGACAGGAAAATGCTGCAGAGCCTAGTTTTTTTTCCATAGGGTGTTGTTTTACAGACAAATTTGCTTCACGCGGAACAAAATTTTTAATTTTCACAATAACCACTGTTGGTGCGATGCAAATTCGCATGTCGTACATCCTTCGTGATATCGGTAAATGTGTGGTGCGAGACTTATTTGACTTTTTTGGTAAGTCGACAAATTTGCCTTAATAAAATTAACAACTATCTTTGTTTTGTGTTTCTACATTTACGTAGTGCCGCCTGTAGTCTGTAGTGTATTTAGTCTAAACATCATGCATTGTACTAAATTGTTTATCTTACGATTAGACGTTCGATAATGCGATAATCGGCAATTCTCCATCTAGAAGCGGCAGAATTTTTATCACACTAGAGCCCTATGTTGCCAACTCGTTTAAAAAACCGGCTTCGGATCTTAAATTATTGCGATTTTCTTAAAAAACATTTACCCTTAACCACGCTATTGAACGCACTATGTGATTGTTTATTGCATTTAGTTTACACCCTCCAAAGCGCGGCACTTATTTCTGTTACACCCGGTATACATACCACAAAATGTTATATCAGACAAATACTTTAAGCAATAATTAAAAACAATTTTCATAATTAGTGCCAAAACATTTGGCTCCCCCATTTTGATTTTTGTCCGTTAACAACCGTTGTATTAGCATCAACTTTTTTTTACCGCATTTGTTTGAAACAATGTGCTCAACGTTTCGTTTAAAGTTTGTCTAATGTATTGATTTTTGTAATGTATTTATTTGTGTTTTATTTACATAAAATTTATGAAAATAATCAACAAAACTCATTTAAAATGCGCTACCAACAATAAAATTATGCGTTATTCTGTTACCCATTAAAATTAAAGGTACCTATTTTTCCACTCTTCCAGGTAAATTGTTTTTTAATGGAAATAGTTTAGTATTACACTATTTATTCATAATTTCTTTTCTTTAATTTTTACGGCAATTTATTAATATCATACAGTATATTAACTAACTATATAACAGACAGGACTAAATCAAGTAAAAGAGGGGTGAACAAAATTTATTTATTCCTTTACATGATCAATCACCAACGTTTAGCTTTATGATGTTAAAGCTTCTTCAGGGTAGATTATGAAAATCATAATATAAAGTATCTCAGAAATGTAGAAAACATGTGAACAGTAAAATATCCATCAATGCTCTACATAGTTTATAGTATTAATGTGTAGGTAAAATGTATGAACATATAATTTAAAATTAGTATTCACAATTTTCATAAATAAAAAGTAAATTAAAAAGAGTATTAATTGTTGACATTCACCATTAAAACTCTTTTTTAATTTACGAGTTAATTTATTGTACTAATTGTGAATGTTAATTTTAATTATATGTGCACATTTCACATACACATTAACATTTATGCACTTTTATGGTCCATAATTATTAATTTTCGAGACACTTTATAATTATGAGTGTCGTAATGTACCCTCTGAAAAATAAGTTTAACATCATAAAAATAAAAGTGGATTATTAATTATATAAAAAGAAATAAATCAACCCCTTAATTTGCTTGATTTAGAATTGTCTGATAGTCTGTATGATGTAATTTTTAAATATTAATAAATGGCAATGAAACTTAAGAAATTGAAAATAATAAGCAGCACTATAGTATTTCCGTTAAAAAATAATTCACCTGGATGAGTACACAGTAGATATATTTTTAATTTTAACAGGTAGAAAAATCAATGAATACGTAATTTCTATAAAGCAGAGTGTGTTACAATTTTATTGTAGATAATGCTTTTTAAGTAAAAAATTCTGCTAATTAATTTTGTAAATTTTAACATCAAACAGACTTTGAGCGAAACATTGCATGCTTTGTTTGAGGAAATGCGGGAAAATATTCATATCAATCAATATAAGTTAATGTTAAAACAATCTGTTAACGAACAGAAATCGATATGGCGAAGTCAAATATTTTAGCACTCATTATGAAAATTGTTTTTAGTTTTTGCTAAAAATAATTTGATTTTATTTATTCCACTTTCATTGTACTTTATAGTTAAGTGGTCCTTTTTATCATCAGTTGTCTGATATATACACCTTCAAACTTATTTTATTTTCCTAATACGTATCAGTTGGACTAAATCAAGAAAATTCAATGGTTACCAGGTTTATTTACTACTTGACATACATTAAGTACCTAATCAAACACCGTCTCGTTTTATAATACTAAAGCTTCTTCAGGATAGATTATGAAAGTCATATTTATAAAACCCTATTGCTTATAGTACTAATGTATATGTGTACACATAATTAAAATTAACATTCACAATTTAAACAATAAATCAATAAACTAGTTTTAGTTGATGTGAAAGTCGATGTTACCTCGTTACCACAATTAAAACTCATTGATTTACTGGTTTAATTTGTTCTTTTAATTGTAATGTTAATGTTAATTATACCATGTGCAAATGTTACATGAACATCAACACTATAAGATATTCGGTGAACATTAATGGATCTTTTATGCTGTCCTTATTTTCTACATTTCTGAGATTATAACTTTATAATCTATACCCTGAAGAAACTTTGACATCATAAATTGAAACGTCGTAATTGATTATTGATTAGGTGCCTATATAAAGTAATAAATAAAAATTTTTCGCCTCTGAATTTGCTTGATTTACTCTAAGAAATATATATTAGAGAAAAAAACAACTATTTGACTATCAAATAAAGTTAAATGGAATAAACAAAACCAAAAGTTTTAACAATAATTAAAAACAATTTTCATAATTAGTGCCAACATATTTTCTTTTCTTTAACACTTTGTATTTGCATCAACTTATTTTAATGCAATGATTCGTTCAAAGTTTGTTTAATGTATTGCTTCTTTATAATATATACACAATATGCAGATTGTAAGTACATATAAAATTTTCAAAAATAATCAGCTGAACTTTAAAATGCACCGACAATAATAATTGTAGTATACCTGTTTATATATTGAAATTACCAATTCATTGATATCATTTGCTAGTTTGTTACCCATTACCAGTATGTTTAAAGTAAGAAGGGCCCTTTTATTTTAACATTCCACTACAAGTTTCATTTTTAATTACCAATAGTTTTAACTTGTAATTTGTTTAACTTTAATAAACTCTTAAACTATAACTCTCTTTTGAGGCGATAATTAAATAAATATAAAAAATTGGGGAAAATTTGCTTCCAAATAACAATTTTAATTTTCACATATTTATTACCCTTTTTGTATTTATTATCATTACTAAAGTTAACCATCAGTTATTAAGGTATTGGGTACTTTATAAAATAAAAAATCTGAATTTCAAATAATTTGTTAATAATTTAAAATAACCACAATCAATTAAATAAACTTTTAAAGACTGTAATAACAAGTACCCCAATTGAAATGTAACATATACAACACAAATATTGAGATGTAACAACTATTGTCCTTCAAATGTATTTTAAATATATTTAATTATATACACAAAGATATGTTTCATAAAGTAATAAAAACCAGTCTTTATTATTGTAAATGAATAAAAAAAATTAAGACATACCAAAAAATAAATCCCAAACATCAAAGAGAATTGATTTTCATTTTATTCAATTGTAAATTAATTAAGCATATTTGCTTATTTCAATGGTACAGGTAGTGTTGTGGAATTTTTTTCTAAAATGAAGAAATGAATAAATTGACTTTATTATAGATTTGAATAAATAAATTAGATACACATCAGAAACAGAAACAGTAACAAAAAATAAATTCGAATAATAAAATCAACTAAAAAAATAAAATAAAAAAAAAGAAAAATAAGCATACCCAATAATGTTAAGAAGTATTTGCAGTATTTCTCCAAAAACCAAAAACAAAATAAAAAGGAGAAGTATTTGTAGTATTTCTCCAATAAGCAAAACGAAAATAAAAGGAAAATTCAGTAAGTAGTGGTTCTAGTGGTTTGGTTTTCCATTATCAAATTCAGTTTTCTCCAAATAGTTTACCTAAAAAAAAAACAATCATTAGATTTTATCCATACTTTTCTGTTCATAATTGCGCACTTATCTTTTTGGTTCGAATTATTGATTTTTAATTGCATTAAACAAAATTTGGCTATTATCGCAAACCATGAATTAAAACAAATAAAAGAAATAACGCACATTAAACTACTACCACATAAAAAGGGCACTAGTACTAAAATCGATAAAAGGATAGCTTTCCATCCTGCGCCATTGTACCTACATTTTAGTATTTATTTTGTTAAAAAAAATATAAGGAAACTGACGTTTGCAGCACAATGTGTAAAAGATGTATCATTTTAAATTAGGATAATAATTCAGTTTTTTAAATATTGCATACTTACATAAAAAATATTCATATCACTACAAAAAAACGAACCACCTCACTCCAACAGAGTATGATTAGACGCTAACGCTAGCGCCAAAAGTTGCCCCTGTATATATACCCTCGGTCGGCGTGGGTACGCTAAACTCATAGAACTACCGGTAATAGATACAAAAAAATGATCAGTTATAGATAACAAACTACTAAAATATATTTTTTTTGTAAAAACTACTTTTAAGGGAGGTTAGAAAACGATAAGCAACGATTGTTATAAATGTTTTATTTTATTATGGTCCAAAAAAGTAGTTCAAATGAGTCATTGGTTTACTATTTTCATAAAATAATTGTTCATTATCCTATTAGACCTTAATTATCCTCCTATGTAGGTACATAATTATAATATTTTCCCTTACATTTTCATTGAATGTAAATATACTAATTTGTTAATATATGTAGGTACTTGTACCTAGTAAACGTGCACACAATAGCCAAACAATCAAATAAATAGTTGGCTTTGATAGTTTATTTATCATAATGAAAGGAATAGACAAACGCAGATTGTTTCTTTTATAGAAGGCAGCAAATAATTCGATTATCTTTTCAATGTTATTATCCATCAGTAGTTCCAATGAATAGTTATCTTTCATTACCTACTGTTAAACAATGTTAAACATTTTATTGTACTGTATTACCAATTATTTGATTAGTTGTTATTCCCTTTTTCCTGTAATAGTTATCCACATTTAAATTTTCCGTTAATTCATCTTAAATACATGTACTTCAACCATTAGCAAAATTGACAGGATGTTTAACTTCTAAAGCTATATTTTGTTTAAATAAACATGTAGGTAGTAAAAACAAGTTTCATAACTTTTATTACTTACTAACAGAACCCTAACAAATTAGTCCAATGATTAATTTTTTCCTAAGTACGAAATACTAAAGAGTAGTTTAAATGTATTATTGAAGTTTATTATTGTTAAACAAGAATGAAATACTAAAAAATAGTTCATAAATGAATTATCCTTAACGTCTGTTAGATAGGTATTACGCTATTTATAAAATAACGAATAAACTGCCGATGGTTCTTATCTTTTCATTTAATTTTGCTACATGGTTTAGAAATTAGCTCAAATGAATCGTTAACCTGTCGTTTCATTACAATTTGTAATCGTCATCTGCACTGTTGAATTATTTTTTAATCTCCTTCCTTGATTAAGCACAAATCGTAAACAATAATACAATTGATGAAAAAGCAAAAATTTTGTGGTTAATATGTTTGTTTTATTTAATGCATTTAATACATTTATTGTTGGTTATTTTCTTCCTAAATACGTAATATATTGAATGAGCATTTGCAATTATTTTACTCTATACTAAAAAGTAGTTCAAATGAATTATCAGTGATTATTTATATAGCATTCGGCCTATTTTGTACGTAGGTGTAACTGTTTAAGTGGAAGTATAGGTGGTTTAGAATGACATGAATCTTCAGATGCGGTTTACAGCAACCATAATGTACTTTTGGAAAACATTGACTCGACTGTTACTCTATTAATTCTGTCTGTCTCTAATTTAAAAAAGAATAGATAACAATTTTACCTATTGTTGCAGGAAATAAGTAACAACTGTACGTCACATTACGATGACGTATTCTTATTTTTCTTGAAGTAGTTCTTTTGCACCATTTATACCACTATACCACGTATGCCTTGTCAACCAAGGTTGTGGCTATTATTACATCAGAATAAATCAGTGGACTTAATAGTTCTTCCGCCCTTTTTTCCATCCTCCTCTGTACAATTCTAGTTAAGATTTTTTTCTCATGGGAAGTTAAGCTAATTGTTCTAAATGTCTCGCATCTATCCGCGCCTCTCTTTTTATGTATGGTTACTACCACGTTCCTCTGGGACTTTTCTCGTCTCGTAAATATGACTAATAAGCTTAAATATACGATATCTAACCATGTCCGTCCCCTATTACACTTGTTGATGACATCCCCAGAGGTAGTCCCCACCCGAACATCCGAATGGGGGACTAGTTTACGTCCGAAATGCTTTACCCCAATGGATGCCATCATTTCATTTGTGTAGTAGGTTTCACTCGGGATCATAGTGATGGTTTTCCGTTGTCTTTCACATCTCAGTATTATGCATCAGAGTGCCATACCGATCCTCGTGATTACTGCCATTCTGAGTTCTCAAAGAGCTGCTACTTTCAGGGACTTTTCTTAGTCTGGTTTCTCTTTAAGAACCCCCTTCCCCCATTTTGGTTGAACCTATGGTCCGGCTCCCTAAATCAACGAAAATCGCAAGCCGATCCATCTACTCTAGTTTGTACAAGAGTTTCATCAAGGTTCAAGTCCCGTCAGATCGGACGTTAATAATTAAAAATAAAATAAATAAAATCTTTTCTCATACTACAAGATATAAGAATGTATTTTCATATAGATTATTCCCGATACCAGCTAGGTATTCAGGGATTAGAGAAATTAATAATAATAATAACAACAAGATATAAGATGGCGACAATTCAGTTTTCAACTAACACTTTTTATTTAGGGGAAACGAAATTAAAAAAATAGTAAGATGATAATGTAGGGATATAACAGTAACGTCTAACTTTTTCGAGGGTTATTCTTCGACTCCCCATTCCATCCTTTTTAAAATTGTACAGTACTCAGTACTTCTTGACCGTCCCAGAGGTCTTTTTCTTTAAGCAACGGCAATAAACTTTATGACAGGGTTGCGTCCGAGGATCTGGCTACTACATGTATATTTTCTTAAATATAAGTAAATAATTCTTATGACCATAACAACTTAAAATTTAAACATTAAGGACCAACTTATTCTAAGTCACGTCTGCATACTACAATAATAATTATATATATCAATAATAAATATCAGGTATTTTATTATTCAAAAGAATTTAATTAAGTTAGCTGGCGTAACAACGAATTGTGGAGAACGGAGGAATTTTTAGTACCAATTGTATTAACGGTAAAATAAAACAAGAGGGGTGATTACTTGACTATTTTTTTTTAATTTATTTAATAACGAATAAACAATAATTGAAATAACAATTGAATTGACAACAATTTCAATCAAAAGATTGTGATCAAGTTTTCTTGTACTTTCTTTTATTTACAACCCTTTGAATTACTGGCAGTCTGTAAAGGAAAACGGACATTAATGATCCAACCGTAGCACCCAGCCAATAAACCACCATATGCTCAGTAAAATTGTGACCTTTACACCCAAGTTTCAATGACGTTGCTAACGCGGGGTTAAAATATCCTCCCGAAAAATTGAAAGCTACAACAAAAAAGATAATATGCAATAAAAAAAGATACGCTCTGAAAGTAATGTACCTGCAACCACAAGGGTTGTTGCAAATAGGGCATCCAAAACGGTTGCCAAGGGTAAATTCATGTCGTTAAGTCCTCTGGATACTATACGGCACAAACAGGTAGCAGTTCCTTCTATTATTGCTCCTGTGATCATTGGAACCTGTGTGCGCAATTTTTAGAAGTTATTCATCACTAATAATGTACTTAAACTGAATCATTTACATTCAAGTCTGCCACACATTCCTCAAACGCTCTCCCTTTGTGAGTCTCGGCAAGTTCCATTATCCACAACATTTGTACATAACTGAATATTACCACTCCACCCAGCACTTGGGCTGCTATCATCATAAAAGCCTCTATTATCCCTTTAGAACCCATAAACACTTCTTCGACGGCGTTGTATGGACACGCTGTTGCGTTTTCCCAATTTAAAGACCACCAAATGGTCAAAAGAAACAGAAAAAGAGCATACGTTGAAACGCCATAATTATCTGCAACTGATTATCTACATGTACCAAAACAATTTTATATAAAATCTCTTGTACAAAAGCTTTAAAAATGGCCTTACTAACATACTTAATGATACCACATTACGAAAATTTTTATCAAATAGATCACACTTAAGATTATGTGACATATCTATGTAGACAGATGGGGTATGAGGAACCCCATTTCATTTTAGTTGTAAAAAGTGTAATTTTTGAATTAGGCAATAAATGTTACTACATTTGCTTTCTACAATGATCCCTTTATAAGAAAAAAATTGAGTATCTAGTAGAACAATAATAACAAAAATAAGGGTAAATTTTTGCTTTAGAATAAAGCATGAAGGTAGGTACTTTTCAACCAGATAAAACACGTGCTACTTCTTTACTTTACATAAAACATTAAGAATTAGAATCAAACCAACTAAAAACACAAGGTATAATGCAGGAACTAAAAAATATTTATATTGAAGCTAACAGAAAACAATTTATCGGCCATCAACATTGGTCATTTTTCATCCCCAAACCGCTAAAAACCGCGTCCTTTTCAAACATACTGCGATTGTTACTGTCTAAATATCTTAGTATATTAGAAAAAACTATAATAGGAAGCTACTGAGCATTTCCGATCATAACGCGTGGATTTTAAAGTTAGGTATATGCAATTTGTGCAGCTTGGAGTTTGTCACACCCCACATGTCGAACGCAAATGAAGACGAACAGGTTGAAAAATAAATTAATATTTATTTTCATTTCAGTATGTAAGTCATTTTATTTTCGTTTGCTTTTCAGCAACATTAGTATATCCATTCTTGTGAGTGAAGCAATGGATACCTACTAAAAATCGATACCCAATATTTTGAAAATTATTTACAATAATAATGTCGTTAACGATCTTAATTATTTAACGTAGCCAATCGCTAAATAATCCTTACTGTTAACTTTTTTTTAAGGTCTGCTGATGCTGGAAAGAAAAACAAACGAGGGGTTGCACTTTCCTTAACGATGAGCAAGACCCTCGGAAAGATGAAGGCAACAAGCAAGGTAGGTACTTCCAAAAATCCAAAAGTACCCACCCATGATAACGATAAAGCACACAAAAGTATATATTATTTAAAATAGTTTAGTTTTTGTTTAACAAAATTCTGATTATTTTATCGTAAATAATAAATTAATTACGCTCCAAAAATGTTAATGTAAAATAATGAAGGAACTAATTAAGCCGTCGTCTTAAATCGCAAAAGCTGTAAATCACTAACTGCATAATTTATCAATCATAGATACCTACCCTACGTCCCTCTCCAGAGGTTAAGTATGATACAACATGACAATTTAAATAAACTCTGAGCCAACTAAAGTGGCGGCTTATGCAATAAAACTGTGCCAACAATAGACAGCCTTTTCTCATGCTTAAGCGCAATTACAACTTTATGGCACCATTAATTTCATATTCTGTGTTATGTACCTATGCCTACAAAGGTCAAAATAATTCGATGTGATCTGTATGCTGTCGAAACTGCCAGACGCGGATAGCGATTTCGATCTTTTTGGATCTCATCAGCGCGTCGTAGTCAGCAAGTTAGTCCGTGTTCTGTCGGAGCTGTTTGCGACTAGCTGATGAGATCCAAAAATATCGAAATCGCGATCCGCGTCTGGTAGTTTCGATAGAATACATACCACTTCGAATTATTTTATTCGATTAAGCTAACGTGCCTATCACGTTGAGGTTGGCTACGCCGGGATTCGTTTTCAGCAAGTAGATATCCACACAAGTGGACTTTGTCGGGGCATACGTAATCCTAAAATGTAGCATCGTGCTACAGATGGCGTTTACTGCGCCATTTGTAGTATTTTCTAAAAGGTCAAAACAGTTTGAAAACTTTCAGAAAGGTGTATTCAAATGAATTCCATCAGCCTGTTTTATCAAAATGTGGGAGATGTGAAGGTAGTACAACATTTTTGTTGAATTTCAGCTGCAAAGATAAACTCAATAAGGGTTTCTGTCCGTTAATATTTTCACTAAATAAAATTCGGGCCGCCCTCCTTATTTCTGCAGATGTTAGCCATTCGACAAAATAAGCTTATAAATCTTCTGGAAGTTTTATTACTTCAGCCGCCACTTTAAAAGGCTCAGAGTTTATTATAAGTATTACAATGCAAAGCTGATTTGAAATGGGAAATTTGGCCAGAAATAAAATTTAGTTATACTTTCATTGGCGAAATATCTCAGGTACGCGAGTCCCTTTAGGTGACACACTCATGGCTTTTGAGACTCCAGAGATGTGCAAAATAGTTTTTTAAAGGTATTTAAATACTAAATACAAATACATACTTTTTTGATTTGTTATTTCAAATGTAAAATATAAAATAGATTTCCCTTTTGTATTTTAAATGCTAAATGCAAAATACGTATTTTGAAATAACTTTTTTAGTATTTATTTTTCTACATTCACTTAAGCATAAAACATTTTTTAAGAAAACTTTGTAGGCATTTTCTCATTTTTTAAATATTGGAGTTTTTGTAGACTAATCGTGGTGTTTGCACTATATCACCAGCTGCGAAGATTGAGTATGACTCATATTTTTCTGTTTGAAGTGATTGAGATATAGTTTTTCTGTCTTTATGTTATAGTTTCTTCAATTTAGCAACAAATAATTCTTGTATATGCTTCTTTATTTATCTTTGTCACCCGTTTTAATTGTAAAAAAGACCGATGCTGAAATAGTTTGTTTGCCATGAAAAATCAGAGCCAAAAATAGGGTTGCAAATAATTTTATTGATGTCAAATCAACATCCATCATTTTATATTAAAATATTTACAACCCCATGTTGTTTCCGATTACACATTGTAATAAGTGAAAGAAATGGAATCCATAGTTTCTTTAGTTTTGGGTTCATCTAATAAGTAAAGTTTTTCGAATCGTTTTCTAAGAATTTTGGATTATAGGCATTTATTAGCATACCACAATATCTTGTAGTTTTCAGTTTTACACAGCTGGCGTATATCAATTCGATATTGTTTTGCGGGATGTTTTGTCGTAATTCATAGAATTTCGTAGTTCCTTGCTAAAAATACGATAAGTGCATGCTGATTTGGCAGGTGCTGATATCAATTTGGAACTGCAAAATTCTATGGACCATGACATTGAACCCGGAAAACAGTATCAATCCAGTATTTTAGATTTTATCCATTTCTAAAGTTTAGAATTTTTTGGACTCTCTTCAGTTGAAGAATTAGAAGGCATTCATGGAATGTCTCTTTGTCCCCTTTTTAAGCTTCTAATGGCTAATGTGAGCAACTTTCATTCATCATTTTATATAATGTTTGATCGGTGATACTAGCGAAAATTTTAACGGTAAAAATGTATTTTACATTTTACAAACAGAAAATACGTTTGGAAAATTATTTTAAAATAAATTACAAAATGCTTTTCTCAAAAAAGTATTTAAATGCAAGATAAAGATAAAAATGAACGCATTTCAAATAAGTCACATATCTGCTCGAGACGTTGACCTATCTGTACCTACCTATAATGAGTTCAAAACAGCATGCACACAGTTCAGCTGTTGCGATGAATTCCAATGCCACATCTCTCCACAATCCATGTTTCACTCGTGTTTTTACCAATCTTCTGCCAGATGAGGCCAATACTGAAGTAAAACATAAAAACAGTGTTGATATTACCAATGGATGAACACCACCAAGATTCTTTTTCTGACTAAAAAAACAATATTTTTATAACATTAATTTCAAAAATAAATATTTGTAGCTGCATTACTTCATTTTTTCGTTTGTTGTCTACTATACTATCTTACAATTAGTTGTTTACTCATGACGGATTTAGAACGTTTGATAAAATATTGACGCTTGTAATAAATCGTCAAATTTTGAAGTGTATTTAATCAATATCATTGCAAAAGTATAATAAAAACATTGTTTCGCTATCACGGTAATGTCTGTGACGTTTATTTTAGTTTTATTTCGGCTCTATGTCTTTCTTATCAATATTAATTATAAATCTGTGCAACAAACACACTTCTTTTTGAAGGTATGTGGGGTACCTAAACTACTTTATTTTTAAAACATATGTATGCCAAATGCTGGTCAAATTTGAATTGAATAGTTGATAAGTAGATAATAAAATTTATTTATTAAGCATATTAAATATAAGGAAGCTGTTAAAGATTACACAGGCCAACGACGAAAAAACTTTTTTAATAATTTTAACTAATTTCTATGTAATTTGGTGTGCTGATTCCGAAGAAAATAACGAAAAAGTCGTATCATCTTCCATTTTCTCACATTTCAACATTAAATAAAAGTAAATTTTATTAAATTGGTTTACTGCCATGATATTGACAGTCTAATGAACGAATTTGGCATTGAATACAAAAAGGAAGATTGGAGACTTTTTATAGACTCATCAAAAACAAGTTTAAAAGGTGTATTATTACACAATGGAAATACTTATGCCTCTTTGCCTGTTGCTCATTCGGCCCATATGAGAGAAACATACGAAAATCTTAATATAATTTTTGAGAAAATTAACTATATGGCTCATGATTGGATGCTATGTGGAGATTTAAAAAGTATCTCAATGCTTCTTGGTCAACAAAAGGGATTCACAAAGTTTCCATGTTTTATATATGACTCGGACAGCAGAGCAAGGGATCAACATTGGTCCAAAACACAATGGTCTTTAAGAAAAACTTTGACACCCGGCCAGAAGAATATTTTGTATACAACTTTGGTTGACCCCAAAAAGATTCTTTTACCACTACTACACATTAAGTTGGGTTTAATGAAACAATTTGTAAAAGCTTTGCCTAAAGATGGTGATTGTTTTAAATATTTATGTAGAAAATTTCTTCATTTATCAGAAGCTAAACTGAAAGATGGGATTTTCGTTGGGCCTGATATTCGTAAATTGATGTTCGAAACCAACTTCGAAGCAACGATGAGTACAAAGGAAAAAGAGGCTTGGATATCATTTAGAGAAGTTGTGACGAAGTTTTTGGGCAATGTAGAAGATTCTAACTATGAACTTATCATATCTAACATGATAAACAATTTTACAAATGTTGGTTGTCTGATGAGCCTTAAAATCCACTTTTTGCACAACCATCTTGACTTTTTTCCTAAAAACTTTGGTTTTATCAGTGAAGAGCAAGGGGAACGGTTTTATCAGGACATCAAAAAAATGGAGACACGATGCCAAGGAAGGTGGAATGTAAACATGATGGGTGATTACTGTTGGACACTTCACAGAGAGCAACAAAATGCTTCGCATGGGAGAAAAAGCTATGCAACAAATTTTACAGAGAGAAGAGAGAGAAAATATAAAAAAACATATATCTAATATTTACTAATCTATTATTTGTAAGAGAAAATTGTAACTTAATTAAGAACTAAATTTTTTAATTTTTAATTATCAAATTTTTTCCTATTTTTTGAAATATACAATTATACAATGCACAATGTCATATTGTGAGAAAATTATGGGTGATAAAAAGAATCTGATATCGAATACGGTTTCAGCACTCAAAAATACATAAGATTTAGGTAAATTAGTTTAGAAAGTTTTAACAAACATTTTTTTGTTGGCCTGTGTTATTTAAAAAAACGTGTAGAAGTGAATCAAATTAGAATTGTGTAACAGTCATTTGTTTCATTTTGCTATTTCTTTTGTTTATGTCGAAAGCCAATAATTATGTAACCCTCGCTGCTATTTTACCTATTTTAAATTTACCTACCGTTTCTTCAAAAAGTCGATTTAAAATTGGTGTTTGTATTATTTCTCTAGTGTATCATTAGTAATTGTTTTCTTCTATAAACGTTTCACTTGGTAACATGTAAAAAGAACTTACTTGTATCCAACTATTCCATATTTCTTTAAATATTTATAGATTTGGTCAGATAAACTCACAGACTTTGCCATTCTTTTTTAGTTTAAAATATGAAATCAGAAGATAGATTTGTAGTAAACATTAAATATGTCCAATCTACTTTTAAAGCACGCTCACTACATTTTGTTTAACGGAGAGATGCCACTTGAAAATGACGACGAGAGTAGGAAGTACGTATGCACATTCAAAATTATCTAATTTTAAAAAATAGTTGAACACTCTAGTAGAGATCTCGTGGTCGCTATATAAATAGAACGTAGCTACAGGGAACAGTATGCACCCAGAGCTAAACTGAGCCATACATTTTGTATAGGGACAATAAAGTTTACCTAAACCGTTGCACATCATCAATGTAATGGTAACTGAAAAGATAATGACATAAAAATAGCCTTAAATAAATTACAATTAAACCAACGGTGTGTTGATACTTCTACTTTATACCTATTGTTTTATAATTGCAGATGTTCACTTGTTGTTTTATGAAACAATTGTTTATTTAGTTTATTAGTCACTCATTAGGTTCACAACAAAATCAAATTGAGTCCTTTAACGATAAAATTGTAGGTACCTAAAAAAATAGCGCGTTTCCGCACCCAGGAGTTGCGTATTCTTTAAGTGAACCTTTATGGTAAAGGTCTAGATGTTGGGGGGGAGGGATCGAAAGAGGAGGTCTCCCCAACCACTGTACCATAAAAAGTTCGTGGCGGTCTCACCCCGATAAAAAGTTATGGGGGTTCAAAGTTTATAAATATGCCAATTTTTATACATTTATAGGCATGTAAATATTTATATAGTCATTCTTAAACAATATCCAAAGGTAAAACCAATGAAAAATACATAAAAATATTGAGAAAGTTATATAAAACATTATTTAAATATCTTTATCAATAGGGTAGGTTAGGTTNAAGTTTATAAATATGCCAATTTTTATACATTTATAGGCATGTAAATATTTATATAGTCATTCTTTAACAATATCCAAAGGTAAAACCAATGAAAAATACATAAAAATATTGAGAAAGTTATATAAAACATTATTTAAATAGCTTTATCAATAGGATAGGTTAGGTTAGGTAAGGTTAGGTTATCGGGTTTTGTTCAAGTGACCACCCTCTTTCGATCCCCCACCTCCACCCTCTTGAAAATAATTTTTTTATGTGGTTTTACTCAGGTGACCACCCTCTTTCTGGTGGGGCCATCACCTAGACATTTACTACCTTTATAAATATCATCTGTTTTGATAACGAAACTTTTTATTTATTGCGTTAAAATGGCACTTTCAGTATTTTGATGTATTGGAAGTATCTATATAAAATAAAAACCGCCATTGCTTTTGTAAATATTCTTCTGTATCCCTTTACAGAGTTGGTTCTACATTCACATTGGTTAAATAAACAAATAGAGGGGATAAGTCAGTACGGTCCTTTGGGGCCCATAAAAGCTACCTGTTGAAACTTAATGGGCGTGGCACAGTAGATGCAGAATTGGATGGCCATTTTCAATATGCCTTGGCGAAGAAGTAGAGAGCAAGAGAGCAGTCGATGATGATTAACTATCTAACGATAAGTAAGTAAATGAACCATATTCTGCCAAATCGTGGAAATAACGAATGCATCTTGCAGTCATTTTTAATCAATTTTCATACTATCTTTGTCAGTTCCGCTCTTTTCAGTGGTTCAAGTCAATTGAAACTTTTTATGATATGCATAGGTTAGCGCGGAAGATTGTCGTAAGGTGATATATTTTGGCAAAGTCGTTACAAATGATTCATAACTTAGTATTTAGTAATTTTTAATCTCGTAACAGTACTTCCATAGAAAATTTCACCCTATTCGGTAGTGGAAGTCACTTTGAATTTCTATTTTATAAGCTCGGCATGGTATCGTAAAGTCGTACATGTTTTGGAGAAATCGTAACACATCGTTCATACAGGTCTGACGCTGGAAGCTGGCGGAAATTTTAAAATGGCGTGGATGCGCGGTGGCAAAAGTAGGTAGTTTTAGGTATGATGATTGTAGCCCTCTTTCTTCAATATTCCTATCAGCAGCGTAGATTAAATATTTAAAATAAATATCTGAACGCTTATTTGTGTATCGGTTCCTAGTGACTTACCCAAATAGGTCATAAATGGGCAAGTACCTGCGCGACCGTTCGCTAGCTTCCTTCGTCCGGCCTGTAACTTCCTAGTCATTTGTGTGGTTCAAACCAATTTAGATTTCTATTTTATAAGGACGACGTCAGGGTGTCGTAAGGTAAGAAGTGTTTTTCAAAAGGTGTTCTTGCCAAATGAAGGAACATGATTCATTATGTCGCGTCCTAGAGTGGTTCAAAGTTAATTTATTTAAATTTATATGATATAAATGCAGTAACGTGCATCGAAAGGCGACGTGTTTTGGGAAAAATGTGTTTTACGAAATGCCGGACCCTTATTAGCCATTTTTCAAAATTTGATCACACAAAATTTCTCTGAAAATGGTTCATAATTTCAAGTTCTTTTTAACCAATTTGAAATCTGGATGCACAAAAATTTCTCTTTTTTAGTAGTTGAAGTCAATTTAAATTTGTATGATGTAAGCGTGGCAGAGGTTGTCGTAAAGTGACTGCTTGTGGTATGTTTTAAGAAAAATGTGTATTTAGGAGGTTGTAGGAAATGTTTCATCATTTGAGGTTCTTTTTAACCAATTTGCACTCAGAATTTAATCCTTCACGGAGTGGTTTAAGCCAGTTTTAATATGTGTGACATAAGCGCGGCAGGGTGTCGTAAGGAAACTTGTGTTTTGACGATTTGTATAATATGTAGACAGCCCAGGCCAGGGCTATTTTCCGTAAGGATCTAGCGAGGATCCTTTTAGTTATACAGAAATGAAAACTCCAATAAAAAATATACATGTACTTATTATTGCCTTTTTAAAATTAAACATTGCTTATTTTATTATATGATATTTTCAGGAAAAAGTAGACATTGGATTCGTGGAATCAATTTCGCTACATTCATTTCGTGGACATTTTGTTATCATTTTTAAAATTCTTAAATTGGCTATATTTCACCAACGGTTGGCCCCTGCCTAACTGTTTCGGAGTTAGAGCTGTCGGAAGTTTTAGCAAATCGTTATTTTTCAAATTGAGGATTAAATGTTTAGGATAACATATTTGGCGAACTATTAAAGATAGCGCGAAAATTCTTTCACCAACGGTTGGCCCCCACCTAAGTGTACAGGAAAAATTTAATATGACACAAATACAACTACATTTATTAATTACATTTAATTTTTTTGTACATACCCAGGCGAAGATGAATGATTTTTTGAAAGTGTGAAAGAAAGTGAAAATTTGTAATTAAAATATACAAACGCATAAACTTATAGTGTATAAAGTTTTAAATAATTATTACTGTACATAGGTTTAAATATCAATTACATAGTCGCGGCGTAAAGAACACGACGCTCTACGCACGACACCCTTTTCTTATAACCCTTTCGCTATATTACCTGACCAGTAATTATGCATGTGAAGACTATATCTGGCCTAATCTATCTCAAATCCATGATGCAAAGCATACCACACATGTCTATCAGGGAATAGTTTCCAACTATAATATATTCTAAGGCATACCACTTAACCCCTGATGTATATCACTTCTTGGAAGTCAATTAGGGAATCCCCTTTCATCACAACGCAGACAATAAGTAGGCATTTTCAGTTCCGCCTAGGCGATTTTGAAAACAGTGCTAGTTGTAAAGTGTTAATTTAAATTATTAATCAGAGATTTTGTTGTTAACTTTTGTGTTTTACTAATCCTAAGCCTGGATAAAGTATGAAAGTAAATTTTAAAGTTGGGTGACAAATCACGAATTTATTCTTACCTGCAAATGGTTTTTAAATGATCAAATATTATTAAGTGACTAATCACGAAGTGACAAACAAGATTAAACCGATTGTAAATAACTAAAGATTCAGCTAATTTGTAACATATTTCATTTGGAATCGGGTGGTTAACGCCTATATAATTCCTCCAAGCACGATATTCGCCTGTACAAAAAAATATGTTGTATAAACTTACTCATTGCAGCATTGCAAAAAGAAACATTTGGCTATTGGAAATTTTCGCTAGTATTTTAATTTTGGGATCTGTTTTGCCGTTCGAATTTAATAATTAATCGACTTACACAATTTATAATTTGCTTGAATCATAAAAAGTGCCAAAAATGCTCTCGAGTATTTGATTTCCTTCTCGATTTTTCGAAAGCGCTTTTCAGTATACGTATTTGAAAATATTTTCAATTTTATTTTAAATTATTTCACTGGGGAAGCTTACGTTATTTTTCTACAACCTAGTTTGAATACTCTCCGTACTCAGGCTCATCGGTGGCGCCAGCAGTCATTTGGTTCTGCCTCTGTTGACCGTGGGCTAACACGTTACAAACAGTGGAAATTTCCTCATTACTAATGAGTCGTTAGTATTTATTAATATTTTCGGGCGTTAATGTGTTTACGTTTACGATAATCGTTTTCGAAAAAATTGTAATGTTTAGCGTTCGGACAGCAAAATGTATAGTGAAATAAATGATCCTATGATTATCTTAAGTTTATTCTAAATAAACAAATGCTGATAACGGTAATATCTGTTGTTAACATCAAGTGAGAAAGTATTATCTAAGGATAAAGCCAGTAAAATGATTTAATGTGAGGCTTTTTATGTTGGGATCGTAGTAACGAATAAAAGTTAGTTTCCGGTAAGTTTTTCACATTTGATCTTCATCTAGAAATTTCGATCGTTAGGATACAATTTGGAGGTTTTTTCTTGATTAGAAATGTAGGTTTCATATTTACTATATCTATTACAAATTTATATAAAAAAACTTTGAAAATTATTTTAAGACCTCAAAAATTCATTCATCCTTCTATTGTCGGAAAGAAATGCTGCATCCCATATGAACTGAAAATTTTTAATAATAAACACAACACAATTTCGCCAGAAAAAGGGAATTTTTATGATGGTACGGTACGACTAGGGAAGCGTATTTGTGATCCTTTTCTTTCCGAATACTCGCTCTTTTTAATACAATGATCAAGCGTGCGTTGTTTAAATTGTATTAATGTAACAATTAACCATTTGTTTTAAAAATTATGAAACTAAGAAATTAATTTTTTGTCATATACTTATAGTTTT